ATGGATGTTACGAAAAAAAATTAAGATTTTTTTTAAGATAGATTATGTTCAAATTAAAAAAATCTTAAAAATTTAACATTGAATATAAATAATTAAATAGAATTATTTTAGTCAGTGTCGAAGCTACATTTGATTTCATTCATTGAAGATTTCCATATATGTTGAAAATTAAGTTTTTGTAATATGTTTGTTGAAAAATGTCAATTTTGTAATTGGAATATATCATTATAAAAAAGTTTGTTGGAAAACACCATTCAGTTTCTTTTATTTATTGGAATATATCATTCAATTTTGTAATTATAACGAAACTATTGTAGATGCTCTAAATACCCTTTTATAATATTTTTTCAAGATACCGGATCATAACTTTAAGTGATTTGACCAAAATACCCTTTGAACGAACAAGAGCCGGATGATGTTAGTACTTCGTAGTCAAAAACCAATTCCGTTAAAAAAATGCATCATTCAAAAAGAATCATCATGACAAATGAAATCGAGAAACGGAGAAAATTAGATGAAATCAAGAATCATTACCATTTTCATTCCTATTTCCATCCTCCTTATTGAACTTTTGTTAAAGGGCCAAAGAGTAACCATTTAAACATATAACTAACTGCATCCATACATAACCATTCCATCAATTGTACACAGTTTAGGCCTCTACCTGCTACTTCACCTGAGATTTGAGCTCCTCCACCCTTGCTTCAGTGTCCTTCAGTGCCTTCCCATATTTGCTTATCATCTGATGACACCAAACATCAATAAATAAACAAATAAATGAAAATTCAGCCATTAATCGATCTTAAAATCAAATTTCTGCAAATTTAAGGGAAAACCCACCTCATCAACTTCGTTTGGTGTCATAATGAACGGTGGCGACATCATTATACTGTCACCAGCGACACGTACCAACATCCCATGCTTCTCACACTGTGCTCCAAAGTAAGCACCTACTCCTGAATGAGTTCAGACATCATTCAGATTGATCAACACCAACTTTGATGGTTACCCCATTCTGAAAACCAAAATCAGCAAGACTCTTACCCCATTCAGGTGGGAACAATTCATGTGGTGACTTGTTATCTGTAAATTCTGTCCCCAAAATCAGCCCCGTTCCACGGATCTAAAGAAGTGGAAACACTAGAATGTGTAAAACAGTAGTAGGCAAACTATATCTATTTCTCATACCATACTAAACACACACATTTTCATTTGATCTCAAAATCCAATGTATCTATTCTTCCCTTTTCATGAACCAAATAAAATTAAGATGGGCAAGCTGGAAGGTACCTCTCCAATTATGGAACTTGAGGAAAAGGCTTTTAAACCTTCTTGAAACATTGGGGAGATGTGGTTTACTTGCTCAAGAATATTCCGCTCTCTGGAAAAAAAAATCAACATATAAAGACTTCAGACATGGGGAGGATAGCATATGGTTTAGTTTACGATTGTCAGTTTTATGGCTTTCTCTTTCATTTCCTTTTAAAAAATTTGAGCAATTTTGATCAGGAAACAGGACTTGATGAAAATTGGTGCAAAATATAAGAACATACTGGTAAATCTTGAGTGTTTCCAGAGCAACAGCACAAGCAACAGGGTGCCCGGAATATGTAAATCCATGAGAAAATGCACCTAATATAAGCATAGAAACAAATTCAATCCAAGACCATGATGGAGATTTGGTGAATCTGGTTTGAAAAGTTTGATGGGAGTACCAAGTTTATTGCTCTGAGAATTTATGACATCTGCAACTTTGGGGCTCACAAGGACAGCACCAATCGGCATGTATGCCGAGGAAAGAGCCTGCAAATATAAGTTCATATTATCCTTTTGTATACTCAATTTATCCAACCATCATACCTTTCATGCAAAAATGCCAACAAGAGCAATGCACTTTGTAAGAATGGAGAAATTTGGAAAATTTCTGGAAATATGAACATAAATAACCATCTTATTTAGAAATTTCTACTAGTTATACCTTAGCTACGGTGACAAGATCGGGCTTAATGTTGTACTTATCACAACCAAACATGGTTCCAAGCCTTCCGAAGCCGCAGATTACCTGAAAAAAGAGAGCAGAAGTGAGTAGGAAGCATATTACATGCTTGAGAGATTAATATTACATCGAATGAATGATAAAGTACCTCATCAGCAATGAATAAGATGTCATATTTTTTTACGACAGCTTGAATCTGCAAAAGAAGAAAGTACCAGGATATGAAAACCAGCAACTGATTCATGCTTCAACCAAGAGACATAGGCCGGAATAGTTGTTCAACTTAATAGTCAACTTAACCTTCTCAAAGTATGTTTTAGGTGGAAGTATCACCCCTCCTGCTCCCATTACTGGTTCCGCAATAAATGCAGCAATCTGAAAAAAAAAACATAAAAATGCCATATGCCGCCTAAACTACTACTCCCTCCGTCCCAAAATAAGTGTCATCGTTTCTATACGAATATGTTAAAGGACCTTACCGTCTCTGGTCCCTCTTTGAGAATAAGGTTTTCCAAATTGGTAGCCAACCTAGTTGCAAACTCCTCTTCCGTCTCACCTAACATACACTGTGCTTATTGCATTGTTTTGACTATTAAAAGCTTGTGAGATGCAATAAGGAGAAAGCGAACCTGGAAGATGGAATCGCCAGTAATGGGGGCAATCGGTGTGCAATACAAATGGAGTAGGCAGATCAAATTTTTGATGCAATGCTGGAAGGCTGAAATAAAACAAGATCATAAAAATAACAAACTAGCAGTAAACTTAAACTTTCTATAAGTAGTACTCCAGTCCATGCCAGAAAGGCACACTTGGACTTTTATGGTCAAAGAGGCTAATCTTTGAATTCAAGAATGACGGGAATTTCTATCTTCCACAGAAGCGTATTGAATGACGTGTTAAGATTTATAACACCATACCCGGAGAGACTAGCTGATACAAGAGTAGATCCGTGATATCTGTGACAATAATACACATTAGAGTTGTGATATGCTAGGAAGAAAACATGCAAAACTGTCTGTTTAAGAAGTAAATTTACGATTTTGTCCTAGCGATAATTTTCTTTTTGTTTGGCCTTCCAAGTGCATTGTTGTAGTACCACACCAGCTTCACCTATAAAAAGAATGATTGAAACAGAAATTGTGCATAAATAGGGAACAATGACCTCAAGGGGGCAAGGCAAGATGATTGTTACAAGCATTAAATCACTAAATCACACCCGCAAAAACAATTTTCTCATGAATTAGTTAAAGAACCTGAGTATCATTTGCATCTGACCCACTGTTTGTAAAAAAGGCTTTTGCCATTTTATTTGCTGTAAACATTCCCAGAAGTTCTCTTGCGAGATCCTGTAAACAAAAGGTATAAAGATAGCACAATGAAGGATCTCATCAACTCAATAGCAAAGTAACACTTCTCTTTATAAACAATTTTACTATACCAAAGGGGGTTTTGTAGTACGGTTCCAGAAGGAATGGTAGAAAGGTAAAGTATTTAGCTGCTTGGTTGCAGCAGCAACAAGTCGAGCCTCATTCCCACCTAAAGGGATTTCAAAGTAACATAAATGAATCAAGAAAATGGAAAAGTGTAATTAGCAAAAAATGTAATATGAACAAAATCCAATGACCAGATAACAATCCCTTTAAATTATTAATCGGAAATGGATCAAGTGGCCTCTGACTGAATGGTATGGGTGGATTTCTACAACCATCAGGTTCGAGTTCAATTCTCTTAAATCTTGATACATCAATGCATATGTTTGTTGATGACACTGGAAATAGGAATATGAGACTGACCTAAAGGATTGCACCACAATCCCGCAAGAGCATCAAGATACTTTTTCCCATTTACATCATATACATACGAGCCCTACATACAAGCATTGGAAAGGAAGAAAAAAAGGAAACCAATCAGAATGTGCTTTGAAGTTCACATAATTTTGTCCCTAGTTAACAAACTAGACTACTAATAGAATACCTCGGACTTCTCTATCACCAATGGGCTTGAATCAGTAGTCTGCCATCCAGCTGTGAAAGGTGCCAACATATCATGTCCCTTATATCTGGCAACGCAAATTAAAGGTCATATAGATTAAGAATTCCCAGCCACATGTTGTCTTAGGTACCAAGTTCTAACAATATCGATAAAGTTCGGAGAAACTGGAGTCCAGTTGGAGAGTGCCATTCACAATGGGAACAAAACATAAGAAAAAGTTCCACAAACTTGTAGAATTGACAGAAGCAACACATACTCATCATCATTAGCCACGGCAACATTGGTACTGTTACATCTGACAGTGGAAAGAGTTCGCACATTGCTTGTGCATGGACGAATCTGTATGCAAGTAACCCACCTCATTAACAAGAAATACCAAACAAAAGGTTTCTTAAATCAACCAGATATATTGAAGAGTGGCAGGTGATTGTTCAAAGCTCTGTCTCCATGTATAAAGGACCCTCTAAATGCTAGAAAAAAGTTTTGACTTTTGATAACATTTAAAATCACATTCACAATACAAAGCACTCTGGTCAAAGTAAATGGATGGATGATCCAAGACAAGTTAACCCCCCATCAGAAAAGAGAAAACTTTTTTTTAACTACCCTTTTTATGGGTCATCTTTCTGTCTTTCGTTTCAAGATTGTGGTGGTTATATCAACAAAATCCATATCAATTTGGTATTTGAAAAAGACAAAAAGTCTGGGTATGATCTAGAAAATCGAGGCGTTGCTTATTCATTGATTCTAATTTATAAGTCAAGAACCGGTGTAACAGCAGTCGAAATAGCCCTAATTGCTCTACAGAACTTACAAACAAAACGCTTATAAAATAAATTACAAAAAGATTCAAAAAGATTCAAAAAAGAAGGAAAGGATCAGAGATTCAGAGGACCATGAAAGGAATATAGAAACCATTACAAGGAGATGCAGAGAAATGAGAAATAGTGTAAACCTTGGAGAAGGTAGCTGCGATGGCTGATCGAAAGAGACGATGATGGCGATTATTCATTCTTTCTTCCTGTTGGTGTTGATCGAGTAGAGAGCACCAAGAAAACAGGAAGAAGCTTGAGTCCACGTTGAGGTCCCACAGGGTCGTGTAAGACGTTTCATTTATGTCAGATGAATTGTCATACATGTAAATAGTCACGCACTTTAATGAATAAATTATGGTTTTGGTCCATTTGGTTTGTCAATTGCTACGAATTTAGTCCTAAACTTTGTGGTTTTCAATTTGTTTTGAAATTGGTTTCATTGTTCGTCCATCATCTTTGTTAAATTGAAAGATTTTTATGTATATAATTTTAAATAAGATTTTAATTAAATTCATGATTTTTTTATAAATATAATCCATTTTTCTTATATAAGCTAAGAGGTTATTAATTTAATTAAAAATTCATTTAAGATTGTTTATCTAAATGACTCATAAATTGGAGAGCAATTTTGCCTTTGTTTTTTTTCCTTTTAATAAAAAATGATAAAAAGACATAATTGTCCTCTAATTTAACGTTAATGGATGGTCATTTGGTTCAAGTACCAAATACAGAACATAGTGCAAACCACAAGGCTTTTTTTAATAATAAATGTAGTTGAAGGGCTAAGTTTGTAATAACTCAGATACAACCAAAACCATAATTTACTCTATTTCAGTTTATTTTTATTTTAGGTAATATATTGGTTTATAGAAAATAAAAGCATATTTACTGTTTCTTTCATTTGAATTTTGAAGTAACGGTTCTTTTACATTTAAGTAATTTGTCATTAGTGAACTCGTAACTGATTTAATCAATTTAATTGGTATAATATCACTTGTTTAAATATATGATCAATTCAAGACTTCATGTCTATGCAAATTAACCATCCATCCATCTAATTTTGGTTTTCGATATAATTAAGGGATACCAATAAATTAAGAGAATCACCGTACTTAAATCTCCGTGGCCACAAAGGGATTTTTATTTCTTTTTTGGATTTGAACCTAGGATTTTCAGGTGCCTTTGACCTTTGGAACCAAGCTCAAACCAATTAAGATGGTTAGATCTTTTATGTTGTCTACATGGTGATTCTATATTTGATGATGTTTCGATCCAGAAAATTGTTGAATTTTTTCAAACTCGAAACATGAAAGTTATAGATATTTTTGTCTTCTTCCTTTTCCTTTCTTTTTGAACTTTTAAATGGTTTTATATATTCTCTAATTTTATTTAAACATTTTCAGTTTATAAATAAAATATCGTAGGTCACAAGATGGTCGCACATAACATTTCCTCCGAGGTAACGTATCATCTACTTGTCCTAATGATTTCCCAATTCTTTTATACATATATTGTGCCAAATATACATGCATATATATATACACACATATATATTTATATAGGAAGCGTTCAAATGACAACACCCTTATTTTACAAAAATATGAGAACAATTATAGACCTCTAAATTAATTGACACATAATAAAAAAATTAGAATAAATGAAAACAAATTAGTATTTATCTTTAGTTTTTTGTTATCCTAGATTTATCTTTATCCCTTAAATTTTGTTATTATCATCGGAGACTTTTTATGGCATACGTTCGTTGTCGATAATGATGTGATAATACTATGATAACATGTTACACCCTAAAAAAATAAGGAAGAGATAAGTTGAACCCAAAATACAAAGTGGAAACTAGAGTTTAATAAGAATTGTCCAACAAAGGGAAAGGGTATAGCGTTTACAAAACAAATAAAGAGGCGATAAATAACAACATATTAATCTAAACAATCATATGCCTAGATTAAGGATGGGTGTTTCTATCGTCTCCAACAAAAATGTCGTATCATCAAATGTGTAATGCTCCAAAACACCAAATGCTTTAGCTACACAAAAGCTTTTTTACGAGACCCCGCTCCCCTCAACCCTTTTTAGCCCAGCCGCTAAAAGAACCTGACAAACAAGTCATTTCAAGAAAGAGTGTTAGGCTTACGCCTAGTGAGTCCAAATAATATAAAAGGAATGAACCACTATCCCATTATATATTTGTGCATATATAAATGTAATTGACGACATTTTAACAATACAAGGAGCATAATAAATTCTAGATTTTCACGGGGCGGAGTCAAAACATCCGAAGATGACGGGGGAGACCCGATTTACCATTAATTATGACGGAACACAAAGTAAGTCATAGATCAACGTTATAGAGCATCACTTACTGGTTTAATACCATTGACATCAACCTAACCAGTCATGTAGTCGGTCATGATCTTAAGCGCTCTTTATCTCGGAAATTACATACTAATCACAATGCCTATTTCCGAGTGGAAGTGTGAAGGTGATTTGGAATTTACATAATGATCACAATGCCTAAAACCAATTTACACCATCCTTCACACCAATACAATGAAACGAATTTCATGCTTTCAAACCCATTATATTCTAGTGATATACTTGTATACGACATCATAAGCATTATAGTACTTACTTATCAATAAGATTTTACGTGTGTCCTAACACAAGCGAAATAACCCCTCTTGCCAATAAAAGACTCCAACCTAAGGGCATGAGGGTTTTAAAGTTTAATGGTCAACAACACTTTCAAAACAAGTATTTTACCAAGTGATTAAAACATTTATCTAAACTCAACTTATCAATATAAACACGATTACCCAAGTTCGTTCTTTTGACCCAATAATCTTCATTTCATCTAAGTAAGTAATTACATGAAACTTTGGGCATAAGATAAGTAAAAGCTTCCTTACAATAGTGTAAAATTTTCATAGAAAGGGGTTAAGATGAACTCACCTTGGGAATTAGGATAAATCCCAATTTCTATGAATTAACCGGTAGACGGAAGGAGATCTTAGCTCGAAAAAACAACACCTCAACACGGAAAGGACATCAGTCAAGAAAACAGAAAGGGAAGAAAGAAGGTGCAGACTGCCCTGGGCGCGACACAGCGACTTCCGAGCCTGGTCAAGACCGGCACTTAACTGCGTCAAACAGCAGCTTACTGCTGCTTCGACTCTGCTTGCTGACTTCTCCAAACAGCAGCTTGCTGCTGTTTTGTTTTCGTCTGCTGCGCGATCAAACAGCAGCTTGCTGTTTCCTTTTCATCTGTTACGTGATCAACAGCAGCCTGTTGTTTCCTTTCATCTGCTGCGCGATCAAACAGCAGCCTGCTGTTCCCTTTTCGTTCGCTGCGCAATCAAACAACAGTGTGCTGTTTCTCTTTCGGCCGCTGTGCGATCAAACAGCAGTTTGTTGTTTCTCTTTCGGCTGCTGCGTGATCAAACAACAGAGTGCTGTTTCCTTTCTTCTTTTTCTCCTCCTAACCAGCAGCTACGGCTGCTTCTCTTTCCTTCTAGACAGCTGTAGCTGTTTCTCTTCTAACCAGGTAGCCACACTGCTGTTTCTTCTTCTAACCAACGGCTACTCTGCTTCTCCTTCCCTCTAGACAGTTGCGACTGTTTCTCCTTCAGATCAGCAGCTACGGCTGCTTCTTCTCCAACCCAACAGGCCCATCCCCCTTTCCTTTCTTCTTTCTCCTTTCTCTTGATGATGGCAGTAGAAGAGACCTAATCCCCTTTTTTTTGCTCTTGAAGATGGGATAAGGTAAAGTCATCAGACTGCAGCCTTCTCCCTACTAATATCATCACTCTAAAAAAAGTACATAGAAGTTAAGAACCTCCATGGAAGAGGGGAACCTCAAGATAAAGGGTATAAACAAATGGTTAAGTCAAACGCTGCAGAGAAACCAACCCCCCCCCCCCCCCCCCCCCCTTCTTTCCTCTTTCTTTTCCTTTTTTTTTCTTTTTTTCTACACACTACAGAATTCAAAAAAAATCCCTCTTCCCTAAGTAAAAAAAATTATATATATACATACATACTTTACAAAGGAGGGTTTATAAGATATAAAGTGCCTTAAACTACGCATACCATTTTTTTTTAACGAAACGAAGTCCTTGGCGCGTACAGAGCTGGGAAAGAGGGGAAAGATTTCCGAGTGTTACATAACAATATGATTTTACCATGATAATATTGTGATAATGATTTGATAAATTGAAAACCTTTTATGATGTGATTTTGATGTAATAATCATTTCATAATTATGTGATTTTTGTTGTGATAACGATGTAATAATGTTGTGACAATCAAAAACCAGCGATGGTAAGTCTACATTCATCGCTCTGTCTGTCCATTATGTGATAATAATATGATAATTATTTGATACCAGTTAGCATATTATTTGTGATTTTAGAGATAAATATGTCACCATAATTACAGATAAATACGAAATCGCATAATTATTTTTAATTAATTACTTTTCTTTAATTTTAATTATGAGTTAAATAATTTGGAGGCTTATAAATGTTCTCACATTCTTATAAAACAGAAATGTTCTCGTTTGAATCTCCACCTATATATATATATATATATATATATAGGCCTAATCAAATGAGAACTGATTAGTTTGTAGTAACTGTGAGGTCCAATCTCAACCATAAATCAATAGATAAATTAGGAAATTAATAATTATGGTAGTTTGGGTTAAAATTATAATTAGAGAGCATATTAGGTATTTTAAAAAAACTCATCTCTCATCTCTCATCTCTCCGACCTCCAATCTCGGGCCTCCGGTGAAATCGGTATCACAGTATATCACAGTGGGTATCACATTGTGTATCTTTGTTTTTAAGGTTTGAGTTGGTATCATAGTTGGTATCACAATGGTATCACAGTATATCACAATGGGTATCACATTGTGTATCTTTGTTTTTAAGGTTTGAGTTGGTATCATAGTTGGTATCACAATGGTATCACAGTATATCACAATGGGTATCACATTGTGTATCTTTGTGATTACTTGGTACCTGCCGGATTAATGTTCATCGAAGGCCGAAGATTGGAGGTCGGAGAGATGAGAGAGAAGTTTTTTTTAAAATACCTAAAATGTCCTCTAATTATAATTTTAACTCAAACTAGCATAATTATTAATTTCATAATTTATTCGTTGATTTGTGGTTGAGATTGGATCTCACAGTTACCACAAACTAATCAGTTATCCCATGAATGAGCCCCTATATATATATATATATATATATATATATATAATACATAAATATATAGAGATATATATATATATATATATATATATATATATATAGGTGGAGGTTCAAACGAGAACCCCTGTAATTTACGAGAACGCGAGAACAACTCAATAACATCAAACTTTTTTAATTAATAAATTAATTTATATTAAATATAAATAAATTAATAAGGGTAGTAATGTAATTAAATAATTTTTATAATTGTTATTTTATTTTAATTAATTATAATTATCCCTTTTTTTCCTGCATGTTCGTTTCCACTCTCTTCTCTTCTCTTGTGATAATTATGTGATTGTGTAACCATAACCTATCGAAACCATGATCAATCGAGTGTAACCATAACCTATCGAAATCATGAGTAATCGTTGTGATAAATGTGTGATTGTCTAACCCTAAACGATCGAAATTATGATCAAATTTGAGTGCGCAAGTGATGTTATAATAGGGATATCACATGATTTTCACACCCATATTATACCACATCGTTTAGTGGATTTCGTCTGTAATCGTTGTGATAAATGTGTGATTGTCTAATCCTAAGCTATCAAAACCATGAGTAATCGTTGTGATAAATGTGTGATTGTCTAACCCTAACCGATTGAAACCATGATCAAATCGAGTGCGCTGTTATGATAGTGATATCACATGATTATCACACCCATATCACACCAAATTGTTTTCGTTGTGATAAATGCGTGATTGTCTAATCCTAACCTATCGAAACCATCCGAAATCGTTGTGATAATGTCTAACCTAACTCATCGAAACCATGATCAACTCGAGTGATATTGATATCACATGATTATCACACTCATATCACACAAAATCGTTTAATTGATATCATCAGTAATTCGTTGTGATAAATGTGTGATAAACTAATCCTAATCGAATGAAAACATGTTCAAATCAAGTAATTCTGAAAGATTCCTTGAATAAACTGTGTTCCTCATTCTTGTTGTTCGATTGTTGCATGCAAACGCTTCTTGATCGATTATTGTTTGATGTTTGATTCCTGCGACTTTTCGGCTTCTTTGTTCATTGATTTCTCCTTGAAATCCTAATCGATACTTAATAAAGATAAGAATAATCACTCTAATTTTAAGGATTATCATGTGATCGTGTAATCGTGTTTAAGATATTATGATATTGATTTCCATTATTACCCTTTTGAATCTCAATTTTTTTTGAATCTTTTTAAATTTCAATTTTAATTTAAAAAATCTTTTAATTTTAATTTTTATCACAATATGAGGTTAATAGGTTGTTCTCGCATTCTCGTAAATCACAGAAGTTCTCGTTTGAACTCTTCTCTATATATGTATATATGATTATTATATAATGGCCATTTATCGATGTTAACCGGATAAAAATTACTACACTCACTTATTTTATTAGATAAAATTGTTGGTAATTAAACTCCAAAAGAACTCTTTTTTATCGAAAGGAAAGCAATGGTTAGGTTGAGCTGTTTCTTTCCAATCTGGACCATCTCCGATCCACCAATAATATAATAGCACGTGTATATAGTTTCATTACAATTACAACCATCATCGATGCATATATAGTAGCTATAAATTCAACAACGAATTCGCAATCAATGACCCAAATAATGCTTCTTGTTTCATCATTACTTGGGTATTTGGTGTGTCCTACCAAATCTCAAATTTTTAAGTGATTTATATTATCAAGCCCATAGCCCTTAATAAATTACCTAATTATCTAGTGTGGTCCACTACTATCAAGAGGGTGGTTGGGGAGTAATAGAGAGCGACAGCGACTCTGTCCGACAGTTATTGTTGGTTATGCCTGGCGCTTAAGGCATACATATATACCCTTTTCGTCCACGTTTTTCTTGGCAGACATACACGAAATTTCCTAATTTCTTTTCTGCTCTCATTCTTATCAAATTCATATGGAAGGCTAATTGATTAGTCGGGTTCAAGTTCTTATCTTGAACGGATTGTTGTATCCTCTAGATAGACATCCAAATTCACCATATACCGGATGAATTTCTGTCTAAGGACAGTGCCACCTCAGGCCTCAATCTCGTATTCATTCTTCGTTGGATTTTCATCAAGATAATCGAGTTAGTCATCATTTCTTACTCAGTTGATTGTTGTATTTCATATGTAATTATACATATGTATATCGTATTATATATATTTATGGGTTTTGTTTCGATTCCATATCGTTGTACGAACGAAATTCGATTCCTGAATCTAAGTTCTAACATAATGATCACAAATCCATTATTACTTTCGGTCATTGTCAAATTCTTGTAATCAATGTAGTCAACATACATACATTTATATATATATATATATATATATATATATATATATTGATTGATTGATTGATGATGCTAATTGTATTGAAAGTAGTACGTTTGTTATTGTTGTATGGCAATTAAACAACACAAGTTCTTGTGTGATCGGCAGCGATGATATATTATTTAAAATATGAATTAAAACAAACTAGTTATATATTCATGCAGTTTACTCTAGTTTTGATATGTAGTATTGTATATAAAATCACATAATTTGTATCAAAATTATGTATTAATTTAAAGGGAAAAGTTTAATAAAACCCAACAAAATTTTCTATTTTAATTGATTAAGTCTTAAACTATTATTTTTTAATAAATAAACTATTAAACTTTTTTATTTAAATGATTAGGTTCGTGAACATTATTTTTTGAACAAATAAATCATTGAACTTTTAAAAATTGTTTATCTACGTCTTTTTAACACAACAAAGTTATTTATAATTGTCTAGAAAAATTCTAAAATAAAAGAAATTCTTAAAGCAGTTTTACCGTTCTCAAATCCTACACCATTAAAACCCCTCACACCTAATGACATCACTCCTCTTCATCGCCCCATCACCTTTCTCTATACTAACCATTGTCGTCGTTGGGTCATATCATTGATCTTCCTCTTTTTTATCTTTCGAATATCTCTCTTTTACAACATTTTAATGAAGTATGTATAGATAGATCAAAAATGAGGAAGAATAAAAAAAGTTGATAAAGAAGAGGGAAACCGTTGGCAGAAGCCTAACGACGGTAATAGAGAGTAGAGGACGATGGGACGACGAGGGGGAGTGACGACGTTGGGTACAAAGGGTATTTATGACGTAAGATTTGAAAACCATAAAATGGATTTGGGTTTTTCTTTGTAGAACTTCCTAGTCAGTTACTGTTAGTTTTTTTGAGTTCAAATAATACATGTAACCAAATTTTTAAAAGATTGGTTGTTTATTTATTAAAAAAAAATCCTCAAATTTTTAATCATTCAAGATGAAAAAAGTTTAATAATTTATTCATTAAAAAGAATAGTTTAAGGACTTAATCAATCAAAATGGAAAGTTGGTTGAATTAAAAACTTTTTCTAATCAACTTACATACATTTGTAATAAGGCCAACGAGCGCCAATTGCTAGAGCATGGGAGAATGAAGAGTAATAATTTCAGTAAGAGCACTAATTTTGGGATTAGACAGTATAAAAGATCTTTTAGATGCTCATATCCCTCTTGGATAGGGGTGTAAACGATGATGCAAGTCGAGCTTGAGTATCATTATACTCAACTCGAATTCGAAACCCAATTTTCAAGCTCCAACTCGACTCGAACTCGATAACTATTTCTCAAGCTCGAACTCAAATCAAGCTCGAACTGCAACTCAAACCAAGCTTGAACTCAAATTCGAATCAAGCTCGACCCAAGCTAACCCATTAGAATTTAAATTTTAGGATCAATCTCTTATAAATTTTAAAACTTAAAGATGTTTTTTTAGTTCTTATAAAACTAAAAGGGATCAACTTTAAACTTAATCATAAAAAAACATAAATTTAGAAATTCTATTCACCTTCTTCTTTTTTTTTTATAACATCTTGTCTCCCCTTCTTTACCATCTCTCTTCCAATGCGAGACAATTTCATTAACCATTTTTATAGTTTTTCTTAATCTTTTTAGTTGTGATTTTAATAAAAAAATAATTGATTAATTTTTATAATTGAAAAAAATGCATAATTTTGTTTAAATATCTAAAAATATAAGACACTTTTATTATTTATATTTTATAAATTTTATCGTAAAAACTGATTATATTTTAAAACTAATTATATATAAAATAATCGAGTATCTCACGAGTTTTTCGAGTCGAGTATTAGGTTAGCTTGACTCGACTCGTTAATATGTCGAGTCGAGCTCGAGTTCACGCCGAGCCTATTCGAGTCGAGTGTTGACGGAGTCGATCTCGAATAGTGGGCGAGTTGTCTCGTATCATTTACACCCTACTCCGGGATTGCGGTTGTTGTATAGATCAGAATCTAACATATTGTATGCGTTACGTATTCTTGATTTTTAAAGTGATAAATATGAAGAATTAACAATAAACTTTGTAACGAGGTTTTGGAGTGTGGACTCTACCATTCTTCATCCTGCTTGCTCATTCAGATAAGAAGCGTTGCAAAGAGATAACAAGACCAAGACATGATGAATGCAAAGCTTTAATCGCTCAGACATGTCTGAATCTTTGTTTGTAACTTATTGTTTTAAAACAAACGATTTATCCAAATACAAACAGTTTAATTCATACAAGATTTAATTAAAATGAAAGGTTTAGAAGTTAAAATTCAAACATAAATAATTCCAGAATTCAACATCATCATGAATCAGAAACGATCTACAAGTCATCAACTTTAGCGTTCGCCTACAATCAATAATCATCAATGACAAAATCACCTCAAAACGACCCGAGAATTTAACTTGCGTATAGGGTCTCGGAAACCGTAGATCAATTCGACCCATCAACATTCAAACTACTTCGTCAAAAGAAAACAAGATTTCTTGAAAAAAAAACTACAAAATTCGGATGAATTAGGAGGAAAAAAAAACTCAATTTCCTGGTAAAACCGTCTTAAACAGGAAGATCCCGATACCTCCACAAGCCAACGCTAATAGTAAAGAAGCCACGACTGCATCGACCTCCAATCCTTTGCTTTTCTTGACTTCCTTCTCTTCACGAGATCGCTCTCCAATTTTATCACGGAGATTAGTGTTGAGAATGTCCAGTTGATGCATGATTTTGTGTTGGCTTCGTGCGATTCCTGATATCTGTTTAAATAATTATACAAAGTTTAGTTATCAAAATTAAAGATTATGCTATGCGATACTGTTGTAGCCTGTAGAGCATGGACCAGAAAAGATATTATTACCTCTTCGATCAAAGCAGAATCCTTGGCTAATTGAGTCGAAGACGATGAATGGCGGACTGTGGGTCCGGTTGACGAATGATTTGCAACAGCAGATGTGAAGTACGAAGTCGATGCAGATCCATTGCAGGCGTCGATTTTCTGTTGACTACCATAATTTATCCCTCTAGTGATCTGGGAATTCAGTTCATCAATCCTAGACGTAAACTCATCCATGCGATCATTTAACGTCGAAATCTGTTCTGAGAGTTGGCTAATTGCTCCCTTAACAAGATGAAATAGACCATTAGTCACAAAAATATCGAACTTAAAAGCAGCAAACTAGCTGATAAGCTAGTTGTTGGCTTATAAACTAGTTGTAGGCTCGATAAGCTAGCAATTGGCCGAAGAACTAGCTGTGCCTGTTAGATGATAAACTTATTACGTTTCGTAAAAACTAGCTGATAATTCAGATGACAATGTAAAATGACTTAAAAGGACATGCTGAAAAATTACTGTAAAAAATACAAGGGGCTAATTCGAAAAAAAAAGTAAAAAAAAAAACCATGGAGCTTATTGAACTTGGTTATGTTTGGCAAACTAGTTGATAAGCTAGTTAATAAGCTAGTCACCTTTGGTAAAAACTAGCTGAAAAGCTACGTGATGATGTAAAATAACCTGTTGAAAATTACACTGGAAAAAAATAAAAGAGGTATAATTGGAAAGTGTAAAAAAGACTTTGGAGCTTGTTGAATTGCTATATGAAGTAGCTTTTCAAAAGTAGTTTATAAACTAGTTTATGGTTGCCGAACATGGCCAAATAATGCTATAAAAGCTAAGCGCTGGTACGATAAAATCACCTGGCTTGCTAATGTGGCTGTTGGCTCGGGGCTCCTGTCGTCAAACCTTTGGTTATTTACCGTAAACCCAGTTATGGAAGTCAGATTTTTATCCCTAGCCGTTGAATACGAATGTGACATTCCACTGCACAAACGAAAGCATGTACCATCACAACAAAAAGAGCAATATTTTCAGGGCTTTTAGCAAAATATTACCTTTTGAGAAACTTATCTCTCGTTGTAGCATGGGTAACAGAACCTTTAGGACTCGAACGCATTTCTTCGTCTATGCTTAGCTTCGTTTTTAAATCCTCAGGTAGTACCTAAAAAAGAACTTCAGAACTAATCGTTTTTAAACCACAAAATGCAGCTGCCGAAAGCAATCATACCATGACTTCATTTAAAAGTTTTTCGAGCTTCATTTGTTCAAGATATGTACGTGGGATGTACGAGCCTTCCAATCCCAGCTGCTCAGCAACGCATCTTACACTTAGCCGGTCTCTTCCTAGCACCTAATCATGAGATAAAAACCGAGCTTTAAAAAGTCACGTAGATAACAGAACTTTAAACAAAAAGCCGAACATGGTAACCACTACCTGAACGTAATGACGATTAACTTGTTCCAACCAGTCAATTTTCACACACACCCTGTCATCATGAAACACGTGGCTACTTCTTTTCAGGATGGATGCTATTGTGTACCCCAACGCCATTAGACCACCAAGAAGCCGAACGCTAACTTCAAAGCTAATCCTTGGAGATATTATAAATGGAGGATCCGTCACCCATTCCTAAAGATTAAGAAAGCAACAGTCTTTAACAATCTAAACATCACAAATTTTCAAGCAAACTTAGATTACACGTCAAGAAGCAAACCTCAAACATTAGGTTGTATTTTCCTTCCCTATTTCTCATCCTCAAATACGATTGGCAGGTTTCTGGATCTTCTCCAGGCGGTAAAAGAAAGATGTCATAAATATGCTCCAAAGCTTCGGTATGTTCTTCAGACATGGCAGACTTGACTTGCTCCACGCTCACATTTCTTGATGACTTTAATGTTCAGAAGCTAGTGTTACTTACATCAAATCTAGTAGCAAGAATTTAAAAAGCGAAAATGAACCTTTAGAATATAAGTGGGACTTTGGAATCCTGTGAAGGGATTAAACTTGTTGACGATCCTTATATGAGCCGTTTGGAGATCAGGTTCTATGAATGCCTTATACATGGGATAAACCTGCATATGGGAAGTGAGTGAGAAGTGTAGAAAAGCTCTAAATTTTGCATCTTTTTACTACCCATAAGTGAAGTAGAACAAACCGTCTCAGATATCTGGTATATGATTTCTTCGGGTTCCTGACCAGCACGTTGTATGTCCCTTAAAACCCGTTTAACAAGATCAAAATGAACGCCACCTGTAACAGATACTCGAAGATCCAGTAAGGGACGCAATTTTTCACTCAAAGCATAGATGCCCTCAACTATCACAATACGGGAGCTTGGGACTTCAAGTGTCCTGCCACCATCATATGATCACATAAGTTCCAGTGAACGTGTGTGATATGGACTAAAAATGCAATAGAAATGGAGATTAACAGATACAGAAATATCCCAAAACACATTCTTCACATACATGATGAGTTTTTATCAAGAATGGTTACTGTGAGAAGAGAAGAGACACGAACCTGTAACCTGTGCGAAGGCTAGACTTGAAATCATATATGGGAACTTCAATCGCTTTCCCATCCTTCAGATCACGAATGTTTTGTAGCAGCGTGTCATAATCTGTCAAGCGAGGATCTATATGGAAAGAGAACGTTATAATGTTAGCATCCTTCCATTCTTAGTAAATGATATAAGATTTCTGGTTCATCAAATCACCATTGGTTTCTTTAAGGTTAACTTGGTAAAGTCTAGATATGATGCTTCGGTGACTTGAAAATCTTACCATCGAAGTTACCATCAATTACTCGGCTGCCATCATTGTAGTTGTCCATTGATATGACTGCAACACTTGGCATGAAGTTAACTATTTTCTCAGTGAATGCAGTCTTTCCAGCACCAGAAGGACCAGCTAAACCAACTAGTATGATTCCATCATTCTTTTGGGCTAACAATTGGCATGCCCGAATTACAACAAAGAAACCCTTCTCAAACGATAGTGTATCTTTAATTTGAACAATCTCAAAGCGAGCAGAGTCTTTTCTCTTAACTAAACGAATTTGATCTTTCAAAAGACGTTGTTTTCTTGATGTTGATTCAGCAATTGAGTTATCTTGAGCCATTAAATCTGCTCACTTCCTACAAGAGCACGAAAAACATGGGGTACTTGTTGTAAGAAGGAAAAGTGGAGGAGAAAGAGTGAACCGAAAAGAATTCAAAATGAAGATAACCGTGAAAACCCTATGTGAATACAAAACAAGTTTGAATTGGAAAGTGAAAGGGGTAAACAAACCCATAGCTTTGAAGGTATTACCACCTAAGGGACAATCAGATACCGTTCGTGCTAAGCATTTGATAGACTGAAAAGGAAGTGTTGCAATTCTTATGAAACTGATAAAGTGTCTGTCTGTTAGCAACTTATGAGCTTAATGCGACTCACAGCTTATTTGGTCGGCTATAGATGACTGTTTGGTAGTGGCTTAATGATACAGAAAATGGCTTATTCAGCTTTTAGGAGGCAGCTTTATGCATAATGCAAAGTTTTTTCAAACATGCACCTCCCAATAAAAAACACGTTCATTCCATCTATAAAAAAACTCTCCCAAACAAAAACCTTCACAATCTACAGAGACAGATTACTCCATAGAGACAGCTATTTTCGCACAGGAACTAATGGAAAGCCAACCAATCAGCCCCAAAGAGTACTTAAGGCGACTGAGAAAAAACCCTGATGCACAGATAATCAAGATTGATGACAAGACACGTATTCTAATTAAAGAAACTGAAAGAATTAGTTGTGATGAACAATTGGAGAATTAAACCAACTTACACACATAAAAACAGGATAAATACTGCTGCAAAAGACGAGGTCACCTGTGTATTCTTGGCAATTCAAAAGTTAGTACTTGATAATTCCAATCACAGAATCTTTTCTAGGCCCGCAATATAATCACAGAAATCTGCAGTTTATAAAACGCACAAAGAAAGCAAGAGCAATGAGGCATCTCTTGTCATCATCAAATCATATATTGCACAAACATTAAAATTGTTGTCGACAAAATTGATCCAACATGTTCAATCACTTGTAAAGATAACAGATTACCCACAACATTCTTATCTCTAAAAATTAACCCACAAAATTATTCAATAGTTCCATAATGATGCCAAGATTAATCAATCAAACACGAAACACTACCCAAATAAATTTATACCCAGATGAGAGTTACGAAGATGAATGCATTCTTCAAAACGGGAGGTTTCTTGGATCTAAAAACAATCAAAGCAACCAACAAAATCACCAAAATAACGAGCATATAACAGAGCAGTAGAAAGATTACCAAGGATGGGGGATCCCTGTTTACTGTATAGAACAACAATTGATGAATCGAGTGGTTTTAGAACAAGATTGGCAAAAAGCGTAAAAGGGTGGTCAGCAATGAGGAAGTCATAGAAATACGTGTTTGCATATTGAATTTTTTTATCTCAGTGTTGACATTTCTTCCCTTAGAAGGATAAAGAGGTGGTGATTGTTCTTGGGAATGGGAATTGTGCAGGATTTTCTAGTTTGCAGGGGAGGGGAGAGAGTATGTATGTATATAAACCCTTCGAGCTGAAAGAAAATATCAGGGTAAATGCTGTGCGATATATTATGTGTGTGTGTGTGTGAGTGATGATTATGGCCATTTTTTTGGTAAATAGCTTTGGGCCATTGGGCCCCATTTTGTGGTTCGGATTCGGACCCTTTAGATTTTTAAAATATAAAAATAAAACTCTCTTTCCCAAAGAAAATCAGGTGATTATTTTATCAAATAGATACCAATGTTTATCTCCACAAAAGTATTTCCATTGATCTAATTGACTCAAATGGATGACCTACAAAAAGGAGCCGGTGGTGAAGAATGGTTCGTAAATGCTCGAGCCAGTGGTCAACAAAGTAAAGTGTTGGTGGATATAGACACATGACAGCCTTATCATAGTGGCACGATGGTAGAAGTATAAGCAATGACGGTCGATGATGGCAGCAGATCATGTTGGCAGAAAGATAGAAGAGTATAATAGTATAAACAAAAGTAACGATGAAAGTGGAGGCAATTATGGTGGTGATGTCGGAGGAGCGGGTGAGGAAAACGGAGAGGATTTAGAGGAAGAGGAATGTCGAGGCGAGGAGGATTGATTTTAAGGTTTAGTTTTTCTTAATCTAAAAAAGTTATGTGTCACATTTTTTATACATAAATGACCAACATTCCCTCATGTAACCACGGGCATATAGGACACTGAAGTTAGCAATTAGTGGAAGGGGTGAAAACGAAGACAAAATTCATACCACAAAGGAATATTTGTAACAAACGAAATCGAAAGATGAGCACAAAATTTTCACACATACGACATAAAAGTGTAATTTAACTCTTCATTTTCATACACTCAAACATACGACATAAAAGTGTAATTTAATTTTAAAATGGAGATTTTGGTGATTTTAATTTGTTCAACATATTCTCAAAAATCTTATTTAAAATAGAGAAAGTAAGAAAATTCCGTTTTTTTAATTAATTTTAATCATTAAGGATTTAATAGTCATTTACATTATTTTTTTTTATTAATATTGGAAGGCATTAAATTTTGTTAATTTTAGAAATATAAGAAAGGAAACGTTTAATATGGTAAGAGTTAAAATCTTTTTATTAATTTAGTTTTTTCACAATAAATATGTTTTATTTATTTTCACGATTATACTGATTAAAAAATGAATTTTAAAATCAGTTCTTGTTTGATCTTATCAACAATTATTGAATAAATTGTTTCAAATCTTTTTCTTTTTGGTGATCTTGTTCCCTTTATGGTTATGAATTTGTATGGTATGCTAGATGCAGTAACTTAATTAAGCGTGTTCAAATATCAAAACTTTTATAGATGAAATTGTTGCATAATTTATTAGGATACAAAATATTTTCTATTAGAAAAAGGGCACTAATTTAATAAAACTTGTTCAGATTTCGAAATTTTTATGGATGAACTTGTTGCATAATATAATTTTTTTTGGATAATCTTGTTTCCTATAAGTTTTGAAACATAAACAATATTAAATAGTTTGACCATAAAAATGATTAATAGAAGGAAAGAGTGAAACCATAAAAATACATGACGATAGTTGTTGTTTCATAATGGTTCATATAATATGTAAAATGTTATAGTTGTGAAACAAGTTCATATAATGGTCATTGTAAGGGTTGATATGTTAATGTTAAGAAAATGGTGTGTACTTGGCAAATAATGAAACCATTTCATAATAACATTGAAACGGATCAATGTACTGAAAACATGAAAAATGACAAATGTCTCCTCTAGCAATAGGTTGATTTGTGTATTGATGAAACCGTGAAACCATTTCATTCATGAAATGTAATGGTAAAAAAAATTGTTTTATTATTCAAAAGGTTTCATTATGTTAACTTGATTATAGTGTATTTTATGTTTCAAAATTTATTACGAGATACCTAATTTCATCGGTCCTTATTTTGATCTATTTTTATGATGGATGTTATATTCTTTATAATATTTGAACGTGAAATGAAGATGTTTTTAGCAAACCTATAATTTTCAAGATTATTCTAACATTTTTTGTTAGAATTTTTGGAAGTATAAGATGATATATATAGTTTTTAAAACAATGATTGTGTTTCAATAACATTAGGATATACACTCGGTTATAGATTTGATGTTTTACATTTTTGTTCTTTTTTTAATTAAAAAATAAACTTTTATTTTATTTTTTTATTTCATAATATAAACTAATCTTGACCGTTATAAAAAAAAATGGATGGATGAGATTGGTTTGTAAGATTTTCACAAATTAATTGTATTTAATCCCTCCTCTCTCTCTCTCTCTCTCTCTCTCTCTCTCTCTCTCTCTAAAATTTGGCCAGTTTACATCTTTAACATGAACATATATTTAATCAAATCAAAACCTTGTAAGGAACAAAATATATAGTCTGCATTTCACCATCATCATATGTGGCCCTCACTTCTTGTACATCATGATGTAAATAAAACAAATTTTTAGTTATAATTAATTAAGAATGAATACATCCATCCATCCATCAACAACCTTGACACCATCTTTAATTATGTATTCACGAACCTGCAATTCTTCCTAACTTCTCCATCAACATAAGTTTCAGGATTCGTTATGTTTCCCAGTTTCACCATTGATTCAGAGAACTGTTGGAAGAAAGCCACCTGATCTTCTGCATATTTCTTCACAAGCTTACTTGTTTCTATTCCAAGAAAGCTGGAATAGAGTTCTTGATCAGAATTCAGAAGCCCTTCTCCTCTAAGAAGTATGTGGTAATATGTGTTATCGAAAAGATTAGGTGAGATATAGTCCATTGCTGCTTCCTTATTGTCTTCTCCTCCTGCAGCTGGGCACGATGACTTTAAACTTTTCAGGTTCGACTCCGCGATTGGGTTCATAGTTGCTGTTGTTTCGTAATCTGAATAGATTCTTTCTCGATAATTCGTACAACGAGCCATGCCGATTGTGTGGGCACCTGCAGTTCAGTTACATTATATCTATATATATAGTTGAATGAAACTAGATCACCTTTATATATAATTGATTAATTTCTTACCAGAAAGTGCAACCATATCGGTGACCGAGAGGCTTTGGTACATAAACTTAGCGATCATCGAGAGGAGTCTGTCGTTTGCTCCTGGAATGCTCGTATCAACCTGCGAAAAACTCGCTGTTTTCGAGTCTTTTCTTCCAACTGGGACATCCCAATAAGGTCCACCAACCTGGACAGATAAACATACAATTATATCTTATTGAAAAAACACCATCTTTATAATTTCCTACACGATTCCAATTCTCCCTCTCTCTCAATATATATATATGTATGGATGCATGAAGTTATACCAATAGGGTTGCATCTCTTGCAGCAATAGTAAGAGCATCAGCACATGAAACTGTTTCAGGGCACTCAGATTCAAGCTTGTTCTTGATCCTATCAATGATTTCAAAGCCTTTTAAAGCATTCAAGTTAGTGGGAGCTTTCTTTTCTCCTTTCAGAGTGATTGTATCATCTAGCAACACCGATCCATCACAACCCTACATCAAATCAAGAAAGCTGACCAATTAATAACAAGAATTATGAAATTCCAAATCAAGAAGATATAGCTATAGCTTAATTCTGATAAATAAGTAAACCAATTACATATATATATATATATATATATATATATATAACCTGTACGAAGCAATCATGGAAGTGTAAGCGTAGGATGAAGGCGGCATTTCGAAGATCAGATTGCACAGCACATTCCATTTCTTTCCTGACAATGGCTTCTGCATTTGGGCAAGTAGATTTGTAGTAATCTAAAGATAATGGAGGGTCATCAGCAATTGCATGCAAGCAACAGATGTTGAGAAGTGATACAAGAATGAAGAGGATGGAGGTGGCCATTGCTGGATGGTTGTTAATGGAGATGGTTGGGACTGAGGCTATATAAGCAGAAGAATTTGGATCCAGACATGTTGCTTAATTTTGCGATGTGGTTTTTAGTCAAGAGAAGATGGAACCACTCTTGGGTTAGTTGGTGGGCATGCTTTAACCAAGAATTGGGCTACCAAATTATAACCTCTCATTTATTTGCTCATCACATCTTTTCCTTTTACCACTTCAAAGAGATTACGTCTCTTAACAACAGTTTTAAATTGAATCTGAAGTTATTATATGTTGATACTGTTTTGGTTTACAGATGGTATCAAAACCAAGCATTTCTTAGCAAATCCTACATCCTCGTTTACAAGGACGACTTTGGGAAGGTCAGATGAGGATGACGAGGAATTTAATTGGGGAGTTTGTAATATAAAATTGAATTTGTGAACTTTATAAGCTCAATCCACCATGGTTTTTTAAAATAGAAAGTTACTAGACTAGTTTGTTAATTTAACATATGAGTCGTTACTGTCCCAAATGTTACATGTTCTTGAAACACTGTTCACTATAACAAACTGTATTTTTTAGGACGTTTGTTCGTTCGTTCGTAATTGGACATCTGAACTGAATACTTAGTAAAACTTTTAAATTTTATGACTAACTTCTTTGCGTAGAACGAAGTCATGATTTAACAAGTTTTATAAACAAATTTGAGCAATCTAATAAACACAAGATATAGATTATTTTGTCATCATTTTTATAGGACATTTTCTACAAATACCATATAAATGGGCTAATATCGTACTTTTCCAAATATCTTATATCTTATAAAAAGACTAATAACCTGATTTACTCTTGATGTTCTATTAATTTGTGAAACTTGGTCGATATAATTTGTTAGATCACCTAACTTCGTTATAACAACCTGTTATAATGCAATTTTATATAAGAATCAAAATTGTTGGTTTTATAAACTTAAGTCATACTAATCAAATACTCTATTAAATCAAACAAATACAACCCGATATCCTGAAAAAACCGAGTGTTTTGATTTTATATAGTATATAAATGGGTCCCACAAACATATAGACTATTTCAGTTTCTTTAAGTATTAGGTAATTTTTAATAGAAAAATGATACTTTTGGATTCTCTAATTAACAGTCCACATCTATTAAATCATTCCTTCACTTTATATCAATGAATTGATTACCAACCTTCAACAATTCAAAAAAGTCTTTAAAGAGAAAATGTTTTTAAGTCTAACAGATATAAAACTCCAACGGATACAACTCAAAGTCCATCCTTAATTTCCACTTAGGACGACCGTAGATCAAATCAAGAAAGCCTAATAACAAAAAGATGTGTTCGGTCCATATCCGAAGCTAATTATATTACATGGGTTAATACTAATTTTTCAAGTGGTTGATACTAATTTTGAACTAAAGATTAGAAGTTCAACCAAATACGTGTTTGACATATTCCATTCGGTGCACCAAACGCCACCTTAATCCCTTCGAATCCATGTTCACATCAACTGTCAAAACAAAAATAATACACTTGGCACACTGCAGTTTCAGAGAGAAACAAAAGCTATAATAACTCCTTAAATAGTACAGATATTACAAGACAAAAGAGACGAATGTATTTGGTTTCTACAGCAAGCAAAAAGGAGCCAAAATCAACAACTCAAGTATACAAGTCAGAATCTATGTAATGATGCTTATGACCAAACCTCAACCCTTCGTCTTCACCGTTAGCATCAATTTTGAGTTCCAAGCCCGGCAATACATCTTTAAGCAGTACACTTTTAAGCGTTGACGTTACTGAACCACCCAACTCTGGCCATGATACACACAGACTTCCTTTTATATTCTTCATCTGGCATCGACCCAAGAGAGCAGCGCCCAACCCTTCTATCACACTTCCTGACGGAAAGTAGTTCAAACTTTTCAACAGTGGAACCCCTTTTCTTTCTACTGCTGTTTCCAGCTTCAGTGCAAATGTATCATCTGTTGACAGCCTGCCACGGAAGTTACGGCTTTGAATACAATCAAAAATCAAAACCCTCTCCGGAATGATCTGTTGACCGATGAGGGTTTTGGCAATTGCATGAGTTCTCTCTGAAGGAACTGAGTATTGGAAGTTGGCAAGAATAATGGATTCATTAGCATGAGTGATGGCATACAGGTTACAAGATTTGTCTTTAAGAGAAGGCTCAACAGAGTTTCCTGAGGATGATATCTCGGGTAGAACAAGAGTTCCGGTGAGTGTTTTTGAGGACAAATGGTGGAGTAAGTATAGAGATGGGGTAGAAAGGGCAATGATGAGGAGAGAGGGTCGAAGTGGAGTTTTGGAATTTGGATTAGAGAGCAACAGGAAGGGAGATGGTAGGGGAGGTGTGGGCGGAGTGAAGTTATTGAGATCTTCCAAGAAGAACCGTGAAGGAGGTGGTAATTCTGTTAGCACGTCTTCCATATCTCCTTCTGATTATTTACCTAATGTTCATGCACGAAAAGGTTAAATACGCTTTGCCAATGTAAACAGCAGCATGTAATATGTCTGAACCCTTTCGCTAGTTTGCTAAACAAGACGAGCTACTTGATCTTATTTCAGATATAGCTAGATAAAAGCAATGTGAACATCTAGCACAACAGCTAAACCTAAACCATGCATAGATGTAAATCCTGGAATTTTAGAAGCATACATAAGTAAAAGAAATAAAATTCGGGGGATTTAATGTGAAAAATAAAACTTATTATGGCATTTCAAAACAATTAAAGTAAATCATGGGGATTTGAAATGAAGAAGTAAAATCTCATAGTTGATACAGGAGTTTGAAAAGTGGATTGTACATGAACTTAAAGTTCATGGGTCCATGTAATCCGTGAACCCAGCAAATCAATTCTAAAAATTAGAATCCATTCACTACTTACTTGTGCCAGTTTTGTTAGAACCGGTGAGTTTACTTATGGACGTGTACACAACCCTAACATTGACAGAGCACGGGTGGAGCTAGGAATCTAAGATAGGGGGTCCGGCAGGCCGGGTGCTGTACTTTGTCGATGATTAAGAACATCTGGTTCATTATACTGCAACTCATTTGAATCTTTTCTTGTTCTGTGAAGTCCAAAGATTGCTTAAGAGCCATCTAAACTTGTTTTGTTTTCTGGATATGTATAGAAACCCAAAATTTCCATTTTGTTGTGTCCAAGATTTTTGTTCCAGCAATTGTACAAAGAATGGATGGAGAAAATACTCGTATACGGACTTTGTAAAATTTTAAATGCACAAACTGCATAAGACCTAGACCTACTTGAGAGCTTCTGATTAGGCATCAAGCAAGATCCATACAGAAACCAATCGCTGTAACTCTGTAAACAACAATAAACTAATGGTAAACTTGATTTTTAAGCAAAAAAATATGTTTCTACTTTCTCCTAACAGCCAAATGTATTGTGCTATTATATTCTGATATATGATTACAAGTAAATTCGATCACACTCAATACAGCAAGCATTCAGAAGGAAGCTGCTAATTTTACACAAGACCACAAATCCAGATCAAGAAAAACAAAGATATTGAAACACACAAGTTATTAGATCAGATGGGAAAACAGACAATTAGGCAACCAAATCAAGTTGGTGATTGATCTTTCTAGAGTTAAAAACAAGAAATGAGATAACTTGAAGAATTTTTCATGTAATTTGTATTACAAACAGGAGAAGGCAAAGAGAAGACTGTTTTTTTCTCCCCTACTTAAACCGCCCCAATCAAGAACAACTATTCAAAAAGCAGAAATTCGAAAAAGAGAAACAAAAACAAAAAAAACCCCTTTCTCCATTCGATTGATCACATCTTCCAATTGAATATCATGTTATGTTCATTGCTTTTTCTTTATCTCAAATTCTCTATAGGCCTCTTTGTAAATTCATTGATCGGGATGGCAGAACCGACCAGAGACCAATTATCTATTCAGAAAAGTTATGAACTAACGATAGAATTGAAATATAAATTGAAAGACTAAACAAAGTGAAATCTTAAAGGCATCAGACAAAGAACAAATGGACAGATAACTTGCACCAGTGTGTTTTCCTACCTGTAATTGTAGACCTCTTCTTTGCCTCACTGTAAAGCACCACTCTCATTTCTTCAACATCAACATTCAACTAAACTAAACTAGGGTTTGGGTTTCTTTTTGGACAACAAAACTAGGGTTTGGGTTTCTTTTTGGACAACAAAACTAGGGTTTGGGTTTCTTTTTGGACAACAAAACTAGGGTTTGGGTTTCTTTTTAGACAAGAAAACAAGTAAACAACATTCATATACTCCGTTCTTTCTAACTAGCAAAGAATTCTATCTCTACTGCTAAAACCTAATTAAAACAAAGAATTCAAATAACTAAAACAGTCCCAAAATATATTTACACTCGACGACCCAAACCCCATGGCCTCACCTACTTGCTCCATCTACATTTTACTACTTGCCAAAGTGTTAATTAGTACTGGAACGAACACGTCTACCCGATCACCCAGGCAGGAGAAATACACTTGCAAATATTTAATCGCTATATTTCTTGCGCAGAAAGAAACATATAAATAGTGCGAAATATAGTGGAACTGAAAGAAAACATACCGATTACAATTCTGCCGACGGTGACGAATCAAAATTACAGCAGTGAAGTGAAACTTCCGGCGGCTGGAAATCTGAGATTGCCACTGAAATCTGTATTTCCTCTCTGATTTTAGCCTTCTTTTCGCATTTCAGTTTTATGCGGATGATTTTGTTTCATATTTGCCCCCTCTAGTATTTGGGTTTGGTATGAATTGCCCCTTAGTTATACATACTATTCAAATAGGTACCCTTAAATTTCACATTATTCGAATCGAGTCCCTCGGTTTAGTTTAACACATATTTGAAATGTCTACGACTGGAGCCTGGCGCTTTAATGCGGACGAATAATGGGTGTAAATTAAATAACAACTCCATAATTATGAGATCTGTTACATTCAATATAAATTAATTATTTAAGTTATTTTTTTAGATAAAATAAAAAGGTAATTTAGTATTTTTTTTACAACTCATTACAGCATTTAATTAAATTTATTTTCATGTTATTTAGAAAACTCATTCAATTGAATTAAATTTATTTTCATGTTATATGTGAGAATGAGAGTTAAGATGAGAAGTATAAGAAAAGATATGGACCATTGATCACCTTTAATCTCAAACATACCTATGAATCACGTTTGATACAGGGATCGATCTGGTACATCTCAACCTAATATGCATCCAATGGGGGATATTTCTTATTACGCTTTTGACCTTAACTTTCCTTTTCACTAGAACCCAACCATATAAAACAATATAAGTTTTACATTAATCCATTTTAACCAATTCTCTAGCACAATTGTTTTCGGGATGTTAACTTGCTCGAACAAACAATAGGTTTGAATATGGACACTGGAGTCTTAAGCCAGCTAGCCACCTAACAAACAGCTGCATGCTTGATTCGGTTCTCACATAATTCTTTTTGGGTGAGGTAACCGGCTCACGGCTCAGGAGTTGCCGATTACAAACCCTTTTTGCACTAACCATCAACCTTACCTATGGCTACTAACAAAGTTGACTTCCTGGAGAACTCAATATGACCCATGGCTACCCGATTGGGTTGACTCCCTCCAAGTGACCATAAACAACGACTTGCCAATGAGAAATGAATCAACTAAAAGACCCGCAAGACATGACATTCAGCAATAAAACCACGAAAAAGAAGGCAAAAAACAAAATGGTTTTTGCATAAGAAGCAGCCTAGAAACCGAATCAATTACAGCATCTAGTGAACTGAAAATTCAATGGTACATGAATGAAGTTGATCCAACAATGTCACCAAGGTTCCTTGGTGATGATGATAGGTCCGGTTAAAAACAAGATAAACTACTATCAACAAACCGAAGAAGCATCAACAATTGTCTGTGAACCAGCATGCAACCACGAAAGTTGATTTTGTATAGCAATTTGACTCTGTATCTATACATGTCCGTCCAATAGCGCATGAACCCATTTCCATATCAAATATAAGGTGATCGGGCAAACATCCCCCCTCCACCTGCAAATCAACAATTTCTAGTCCAAATAAAAAAGGCAAATTGGGTATAAAATCTTAAGAAATTTAAAGATCAGATTCTCATGGTGACATCAGTTGACAACTTGACATGACCATTTACAATACCTTATTTAGCACTTGAGTAGCAACCCAACAGGAATGAGTGATCAATCTTCATGCTCTTTATCACTATCAGAATCTGCAAAACAGGAAACCCAAATGAGCAAGAAAAAAAAATCTTTGATCCTCACTTTCTTAACGGGCATTTTACAAAATACACGAAATTGATGAGAACTTAGCATATGAATTCAATAATAGGGGTTCTACGGCTATAGAGAATTGAACCATAGAGCAATATTGAATTGGCATATATACAAATGTAATAATAACCCTTACCAATAGAAAGAATTACCAACAAAATACCGACAAATCATAAAGAACACACATTGAACAAGAATATTACAGATTAAGGACTTATTTGGTCTGAATGGAAGCTCCCTAATGTTGTCATACCATCCATAGCTCAAGCATACATACGAAAAGTATAGCCTTCAGTTTTACCTAAAGCTTTCTAATCTTACGCATGAAAAGAACATAAAAAGGGTGTTTGTGCCTGAAAATATCTTATTGTCGTTCAGGCCCTTTTATCGAAATAGAAACAAAGAAATTGAAACCTAAAGAACTTCAAAATATTCAATTTCAGTGGAGGTGAATTGACCACCTTTCAAAAAGACCACAAATACACATAGCATTTCAGAGATAAATCAAATTCAAATGTAAACAATATGGTAAGTCGAAGAGATTGCAAATGGGTCCATTTAACTTACCAGAACGAACATCATCACTAAGCTTGCCTCTATCTTGAATTTGTTTAACAAGCATGCGGTACATAAGCACCCACCAGTATATGTGAAGAACGAGCAAGCAGAAAAGCAGGGTGTTGAACACATAGTAGTAAAGTGGGCCCTCCTTAACATGCTTCTCCTTATCCAAAGTCTGAACTACTTGGTAACTGCAATGAGGAAATAATAGGAAAACATAAAGAAGGATAGCCCATAATATACCATTTTATCAGTAGCTATGATCATTAACTACTTAATTTAGCAGTACTTAAGAAATCATCTCAAGACTTCATTTCTATTTAATGCAAGTAAACACATATAGTCCAGGATGCTATTAGAAACCAATTAGAGACTATAGTAATAAAATTTAATTCTTAGAGGTGAAGGTGAAATAGTAGATGAGTAAGCGAGACTTTACTAAACAAGAAAAGCCCCTTCTATCTTATTAGTAAAGCGCTAATGCGCGCCCTGCAATCAAACTCAAGTTCCAAAGGGATCAATCTTGTTGGTTTTTCTTCTCTACCATGACGAATGACAGATTTCAATTACTAGCATATAATCATATTTGAAAGGATGAAATGTTACATTTACGCTGTTTCCAGGAGCAACTTTATATATAAATTCGCCAACTCAAGTGTTTGTGGAAGGTTCTTAATTGCAGGTTTTAACTGCTTTTACGAAATCCAAACAGGACCCAGACCAAAGTAATGAATTGAGCTGGCATAAAGTAATGAATTGATAGCAGGACTTAATATCAATGAGGATGAATATAATATACAAACTTTTAAAAGGGTATTCATCATCTTCTAACCTTGTACTCCACAGGATCCAAAATGGATAATAAATAAGGCGAAGCACCACCCACGACAATACGAACAGAATAAATGAAAAGCTTGCAAGTGCTTCTGCGCCACTGTATTTAGACATCTTGCCTACTTCGAGAAATACATCACTGGCATCATGAAGAGCTAACACAACTGAACCAGCACGAGCAAACCTACACGAAATAGAGAAAATAATAAAAATGAACATTTTCATCCTTAGTTTTTACACATATATATGTTTCCCATCTAAAAGTAAACTTCTTAAGACACAACTCCAATATTAAAATTTACCCATTGCTCATTACGGATGATAACAAACCCAACACTTGATCATTTGATAATAGTAAAAACCTCAAAAGACGGATACATTTAGTGGCTTATTGATGGTAGACCACTCTTTGGACAGATAGGGTTTGCACCAGATGCGTATGCTCGGTCATTGTAATTTATATCAAGCCACCCAGTATAGGAATAATGATTATAATGCATTTTGTAGAAAGTTTCAAACAGATAACAACAATTATCAACTCGTGCTTACTAGACAATACCTGCATATATAAGACATTGCAATGAGGATGACGGTTGCAACATGATGACCCATGGACACACCAAAATCAGATCGCCTAGTTTCCCAGAAAATCAACGCAAAGATGGAGTACGTGTAGAATCCACCCGTGTACATATACAGACCTTTCAGTTTTAACCTGGAAATCCATTAAACCATGTTTCACCAAATTTCAGACAATTGATACTAAAGAAAATCTAAAGTACTAAGTCAAAGGAAGATTAATTCCATTTTACTCGTATCAATTATGCAAACTAACAGGAGTGCTTACTTCATTTTCTGGTCAGGCCATCTCTGATCACCAGGACCTAGCCAAAAGCTGTTTGTGTCAGTGAACCAAGGTTCATTGTATGTAACAGCCAGGGCTAGGATTTCTGCAGAAAGATAATAAACACATTTCCAGGCCGACTCTTTGAATTTCCGTATCTTCTTATTCCTGTCATCTGTCTCAACATCCAGCTTCTGCTGCCCCTTATCAAATATTAACCACCTACCTACACGCTGCAACATGTGACTAAATTATTAAAAAAAAATTATTTAACCATGAATACTGTTATTTCTATATAATAAACAATACATACTCAATTGTGTACAAAACGGCTAATCTGTCAATTTAGTAGGTGAGACGTATCACGTATGTTAACTACCGCTCATACCAGAAGTCCTTCTATAAGCTATCCTTGTACAGAGATAGCTTTTGCTGCCCCAAGTGTTACAGCCCCTTCCCCTCTATGTGTGTGCCTATCTATCTATCTCAGTGGATAACACACATATTTTCTTACTGTCAGATCTGGTACTAATTACTAAAGTAATGCTCCATCTTGGGAAGTACTCAATCCATCAAAGATAACCTAATTGATTTTTTGATCCCTAATGGACTCCTATGTTGTCTTATTTCAGTTTCTATCTTTGCTGTTCTGCAATGGCATACTTTTGCACACGTAAACAAGTATGAGATCAAGTTAGGAGTACATAATTGATAATACTGTCATTCATCTGGTCAGATATATGCGCAAGCATAGAACTCATCTTGGAAATGCATGTATGTTACCAATCCAGCTACGAAATTGGATGCATTTGTTAAACATCTGTAGGATCAATTGTTTCTGGTTCCCCTAGGAGGATGGCTCGCTGATTCCAGCAGATTTACCAACAAATTTGGTCCAAACCAACCAGATAGGAACATTTGAACATTGAGTAACTGCATTGACTAAACCAATTCTTTCTTGGACATAACAATCCAAGCATAATTGTTGCAGAAATTCAACTTAGCTGGCAGGTATGAAGGCAAGGCAGTTCATGATGAAGGACCAAAAGAGTGTCAAGGAACATTGGAAATAGAAGATGGATCGAAATTTCATGGAAGAGTTAGGTGAAAAAATGCAATAATAACTAATAAGAGAATAGTAGTATAGCATGGTGGTTTGCAGAAAAGATTTTTCCATTTTGATACCACAAAATATTGTGGACCGCAATAGGCTCCATCTCAACATGATGCTTGTCTCAGTGGTGAATAGAGCTTATAGAGTGAGCTACCAGGTTCAATGAGCAGATAAGTGGGTCTGAGTAACAAACTGAAACTCATATGATGATACTACAATTGGGTAGAGTAAAGCAGTCTTAAGCATGCAATGGTTGGTGGGTGCAGTACTTTAGCCTATGATATTTTACTATCAGATATCTAGCATGCGTTCATTCGAGGATTAAGAAAAACAGTTTCAAAATGATATCAGACTAGCACTTTATTTAAGGATTAAGAAAAACAGTTTCACAATTTCGAGTAGAACCTTGATAAAACTTATTTCATGCAGATTAAACTACAAATAAAGAATTTATCAGCCACAACCAAGATCCCATCCTTCCAACAGAAACCTTAAACATAACGCTCACTTAAAATCACAGAAAAGGTATTAAGCATAAATATGAAAAAAGATAGCTCAATTGATTTTGTGAAATCAGGGACATGGTCGGATTCCTTTCAGAAGAGAACACGATCAATCCCACCCTTGCATCCCCAAGGATTGAGCCAGTGCTCAAACTGGCACCAAGTGAAAATTCATGATCCGAACCTTTTCATCCTCCCCCTTTTCTTCCCATATCTTAGTGGTCAAGAATTGCTCTCCATTTTCTTTTCAAAATCTTCAAAACTTTCTAAAAAACTGAAAAACTTTCTGTTTCTCTCATGTCTTTCCAAAAACTTTTTCAAAAGTCGGCGATATTTACAGAAATAGCATCTTGACTCTTTAGTTGGTTATTCCTTTTGTCAAGAAACGAGATGAAAGAGAAGGGGTTTTGATGATTTTTCTGGAAAGAGGATAGTACCTCTGGCAAATTTATTGAAACAAAAATACAACAATACACCAAAACGGCATGGTATTCACCACCCAAATGCATGTCCAATCTTCTGTATGGGACAGGAACCATCAGTTGACAGGAGTGCTCCATAGCTATCACTAATTGTAACTGGTTGGAACATCCTCCATACCAGGGAACTAATCACCAAAAGAAGACAAAGACTCGCACAATTTAAAACACAATAAAAAAGATAAAAGCTAGACAACACAACACTAGACAATCATCTGGTGCTGCTTCTGCCATGCAAGGAAAAGTTCTCATAATTATAACTGGTGTATTATTAGATGAATTGGTAAAGGCAAAGTAATCCAAACTAGAATTCAAGGTTGGGTAGCACTTGATGACGATGAACCTCAAAGAGTCAACAGAAACTTATTAAAAGGGGATAATTGCATTGCTTGTGCAATTAAGAAAATATTTCATTATCTCTTATCTAAAACCCTTCGGGCGATCACTAGATCTATTACAAAAGTTCATTGTGCTGTATTAGGACCGGAAGATGCTTGGACAAAAAAATGGGTATCCTACTCTATGCCCACTGGAGGTAAATCACTGGGAATTAGCAGTAAGTGGTGGTGCCCAGATTTGAACAGTGGGACCTCCTTTCTGGATGCCCACCATCATACCGCAAAGGCAACATGCTAGAGAGAGATGCTTGGTCAAATAAATCAGTGTTTGGTACATAATCACCTAAGATCCTCAGGTTTACTACTTAAATTTACTTGTATCATTAATCTTCACGAGTTTGGATAGTATGCACTAAAAGTAGAACTGATGGAGCAAAAATAATTTATTATCATGTTTACATTAAAACGTTTTGAATCCTTTAGCAGGAAAGCATTCCAACTTTCTGGTTTACCAGTACAGATGAACTTTCTACAACCTGCCATCAAAAAAGAAATACTGCGGATACTATCCGAGACTATTATAAAGCAATCTCATCAACTCCATAAATGAGAACACCTACCATAATATGCTCCTATGGCATTGCACTTATCGAAAACCTATCCCCATATTGATAAGGATCGAATACAGCCATTTGTTGGGAAGTTACAAATCCGCGTCAATCCCAAGCTCCAATGGATTGCCATTTAATTGAGACCACACCAAGCAATGTAGGCATATATTTAAAGCTTTCACCTTTTCTTGGATAATAACTTTTTGTTCAAATCAAACTTACTTTATGTCGTTCTAACAAACATATAATAAGGGCGACTAAGCCGCCCCCGTTGACTTCCATTGTTGGATTACTTGATATGGACTTTAAACTTGTCCAGTAGAGAGAACCATCAAATTGGCAACAAATCAATACCAGGTTTGCATCTTATTTGGGATCAAAGGGCATTGAAGCATACTATCATAGAGTATCTCGAGAAAAATACACACAACTGAGACATCGTTCACAGCAGGCTTATTGATTGGATCTAAATAGAGAAATTTCAACCTAAAAGAAAAAGTATTCAATCAAATAAGTAAAATAATGATATTAAAAAATTACCTCGAAAAGGAATCTGTCGAGGAAAAATCTAACAGTTGGGAAGAAGATGGCGAATAGAGGAAGAAGTGTGAAATCTGCATAGGTAGGGAAGGATTCGTATTCGAAGTCAATTGAGTTTAGAAGGTCGGTGACAGCCATGGCGGAAAGTAGAGGTTGAGTTGGGTTAATCCAGCGAGATGATCCCGATGGGTTTGCTGCTAGTGAAGGACCCCATTAATAGAATAAGTGAATTTTGAAAGAAGCCCCTGTACTTTTTAAACCTCGTGTTTTTGGCCAGTCAACTTCATTACTTTGCATTTAATGCTACTAAATGAGAAATTCTCTCTCATTTTGTTCCAAAGGTACAGCTTGGAATCGCACAACCCAATAACTTGTTTCTTCAAACTAAATTTATTTTCCCTTCATTTGTTTATGTTATGTTATAAAGTATTTGGCAAAAATTCTTAAAAATCATTTTTTATATACGAATTATTATATATTGATGCATATTACTTAAAATTCAAGATTACAAGTAAATTATGCATAAGTACAACTTATTAATGCTTCATGTTTGAATTCGTGTAATTAACTGCGGATAAACATCTCATTTTAAAATATTAAAAATCTAAAATATAATTAGAATAATTATCAAGTTCTAACAAAATAATTAATTATTATCTTTATATAAAAATTATATTACTAAACCAAATATAAATTACTTCGTTATTGAACTTAATTAGAAATTTTGAATTAAAAAATTACACAAATTTTAAATAGTTAATTTGATATTAATATCGATATAATTTAGTCAAATTTTTATGATATCTTCAATTTTATATTTTATTCAAAAATTAAAACATCATTGTTTTTTCAAAATCACATAAAACCATATTATAGCATCGATTGAGATAAAAAATAAAATGAAATATTAAAATCAAGATGTATCTCGCTGTATTGCACGAGTACCCTTCTAGTTTATTTTTTTGTAACCGTATTTTACATTTTAAAGTACTTATATAATTTCATTGTTCACTTTTTATGCAAAATATAATAAACACATGATAAAATAATTAATTACAAAATATATGATTTATGATATTATTTATTTTGAACTTGTAGATAATGTTTTGATTATATATAACTTTTGATTTTTAAAAAATCAATATTATGTTATAAAATGTTTAGTGAAAGCTCTTGAAAGTCATTTAATAAATATTAAATGTTGATAATTAATAACTAATCATTTAACATTTATATTTATAATATATTATTGTTTAGGTATGATTTCTTCACTTCAGAAAATTAAATGATAAACGGGTTCATGTTCACCATTTGAATTATTTACTCTTTAAAGCTTTGTTTCTGAATCTGTTTTCTTTATTGACATATAAGAGTCTCGACTTGAGCGTTTTCTCGAAATAAAACGGCGAAAGAACACCTGCTACGACTTTTCTTCCTTATCTGGGGAGACGTGCACTGTTGACACATTATTAATTTTCCTTTATCATGTTTAAAATGAGGGTCTATGCATCAACATCGTAATAATATTTTTACTAATAGTCTTTAAAATATAAATCTGTAACAAATATTACTTATCTATGTTGGAGTGCAAATAGAGTGGTTGCAAATGTTACACATTTGTTGTTTTGGGACTACACGGGTTTTAAATGGTTGGGATAAATTTTGGATTTCCTATGCTATTTCACATGGAATGTGTGACTTCAACTAGATATATGTCGAGAGATTCTTAATAACAAAAATCCCTATTTGACATCAAAACACAACATTTGACCAAAAACATAGAGTCGTTTAACAAATGCTTATTAGTTGTCACTTATTTTAACGGATGAGTATCTTAAGAATCTTGCCCTGAACTATAAGAGGGTGTTCGAATGAAATTTGGTGGAATTGGAATCCATCAATGACATTTGACTACGAAGGAACTGGAATAGAATTTGACCATGTGTTTGATTGGCAGGAATTGGAATAGAATCTCTCTCAAAAGAATTGGAATCTCCATTTTGTTTGAACGGAAGGGGGGGGGGGGTGGTAGCTGTGACAATGACATTAGTGGTTCGTAAATCTTTCATTCATAGATAAGAGAAAGGAAATACCAACTCCACTACGACTCATCAACCAAGTGGTTGATGCTTGCCTAACGTTCTGATGCTAGCTGGGTCTTGCCGATATCAACGAGAAAAAAATTATCAAATGGAAACAACTAACTATGGCTCTTGGGGGGCGGTGGTGGCTCTAACAACGGCAGTAGTACCATGGTGATATTGATGGTCGGAGGTTGGTGGGGATGGCAACTATGATGACCGCACTAGTGGTGGTGGGGGGCCACCACCTCTGCTCACCCATCTCAAATGATCAATTCCTTCAAAATTCATGAACCAAACACTCCTTAAGTGAGGGAGAAGAATCTTACCTTGTTAACATTTGTTTTGATGGCCAAGAATATTACCCGATAAAGTAAATAAAGATGGTGACTCTTGCTGGTATACGCTTAAGCGTTTGGTAATCAGCCCAATAATTGAAATAATAATAGAATGTTTTAAATAACTTCCAAGGAGAATCTTATGGATCAAACCAAGTGTATCAATTTTCTTTCTGTAAAATTGTAATTATGACAATGGGTAAATTGCAAGTTCAACTTAAAATTTTGTTAAAAAGTAACTATGCAATCAATATGGCATATATACCAAAATGGCAACTGTTGCAGGTCTCACATAACAGCGGGAGTATGAACCTATTCAGATATAAACTCCACCATACCATAGGCAGAACAGATAACAAGTATATATCAACAAATTAAGTTAAGCTCCATTGCACAAACAAAATAGAACAAAACAAAGATGCATATTCTTATTCCAGAAGATGGTTAAAAACAAACCATAAGAACCACATAATCAGCATCTTAAAACACAAATTCATAACAACAAGGGTACCAGCAAACTACCCACATCAGGTTTAAGCAAATCAACAGAATTCATATCTTTGATGCTTTAGCAAGCTTGAACCACTCGGTATGGAAGGACCCAGGGATATCGGTCCTCTCATACGTATGAGCTCCAAAATAATCTCTTTGAGCTTGAACCAAATTAGCAGGCAATCTCCCCCTTCGGTATGTGTCAAAATAAGCAAGACTAGAAGACATACCAGGAGTGCTAATACCCGAGTTGATAGCAAGACACACAACTCTTCTCCAAGCCGACTGCCTCTCGATCATTTCCTTTGCAAACTCTGGATCCACCAGCAGGTTCGCAAGATCCGGGTTCCTGTCATAAGCCTGCTTGATACGGTCCAAAAATATAGCACGGATGATGCATCCACCCTTCCAGATCCTAGCAAGCTCGCCTAGTTTCAAGTCCCACCCTTGTTCTACACTCTTAGCACGTATCAAGTTCATTCCCTGCGCATAACTGCAGATTTTGGAGGCATAAAGGGCTTGCCTAACGTCATCAATCAGCTTCTTTTTATCCACAACCTGATCAGATAGAATGTCACTCACACCACCCGACTTGAAGACCTTAGCTGCTGCAACCCTTTCTTCTTTCAGTCCACTGAGGAATCTCGAGTCCAGAGAAGCAGCTATGGTGGGGGCTGCTACTGACAGATCAGCAGCTTGTTGAACAGTCCATTTGCCGGTACCCTTCATACCGGTTTTGTCCAAGACCTTGTCCACCAAATGCCCATCTCCCTTGTCATCTTTGATTCCAAAAATATCAGCTGTGATCTCAATCAAGAAGCTCAAAAGCTCCCCTTTGTTCCACTCTGAGAAAACCTCGTGTAGTTCCTCATTGGATAGCTTTCCAACGGATTTAAGAACATCATAGGACTCCGCAATCAGTTGCATATCACCATATTCAATCCCATTGTGGACCATTTTCACGAAATTCCCAGACCCACCTTCGCCAATGTATGTAACACAAGGTCCACTATCAGGAACTTGAGCAGCCACTTTGAGAAGAATGTCTTCTATATACTTGTAAGCCTCAAAGGATCCTCCAGGCATCATAGAAGGTCCGTTTCTAGCACCTTCTTCACCACCTGAAACTCCCATTCCTAGATAAAGCAGGCCTTTTTCAGCCATGGCTTTCTGTCTCCTCTCTGTGTTCTCATACCACTCGTTACCACCATCAATAATACAGTCTCCTTTCTCCAAGTAAACAGAAAGGGTCTCAATTGTTTGATCTACAGGCGCACCAGCCTTCACAAGCATGATCACAACACGTGGCTTCTGGAGTGAATTAATGAAGGACTTAGGATCATGAAACCCATATAATGGGAGGTTTCCTTCCTTCTCTGCTCTCTCTACCGTCTCGTCAACTTTTGAAGTTGTCCGATTGTAAACAGAAATTGGGAATCCTTTCTCAGCAATGTTGAGGGCGAGATTTTGACCCATGACTGCAAGGCCTGCAAGGCCGATCCTTGATGGGGTTGCCATTTCCTTTTTCCTGTTCAGACATAAGCTTTATTAATAATGATTGATGAAAATGATAATACAAATGAACAAGTATGCAACAATTCATGAACATCATGAAAAGGGGAAACAAAAATAGCTAATATTCAATGGAATCATTCTAAGAAGTCAAAAAAAGATCAGAGACAATGGCAGCCACAATGCAAGACAAATATTATTCAAGATATTCTGAAAAAAGAATGCATCACTTCATCAGAGTAAAGCAAAATTTAGAATAAGATCTAATTTAGAGAAAAACTGATTTCCTCTTCGTATTTTTCTGAACAACTATGGACCCCTAAACAACTATTCCTCCATTTTAGTTTTTTTATCCCTTTCCACAAATCCCATCCAATCCAGACCAGCATTTAACTTTACATCCCAGTAACCATTACCACAAGTGAGTGTAAGAAGTCAGCTCCTTCCATGATCAAGCAATTGCTAAGAAGACAAGGGCAAAGAAGAGTTAAAATTAAAGCAAGTATATAACCTCATGAATCCATACCGACGATTCTCTCAACAAGGAATCATGTACAACCCCCTTTACAAACTCAAGGTATGTCAAACGGGTAATCAAAAAACTGACATGACAGACCTTTATCTTTCTTTAAAAGTTCAAATTTCTATTTCACTTGTGGATCCATAGGTGAGATAGTGATTTTATGCGGAACTCCATTAGATTTACTTGAGGAGAAAAAGAAGATTCCAACATATACCAAGAAGAAATGGTCCATATCTAGCCGATGTGGGACTCTAACATGCCCGTCTAGCCTCTAGACGGGGAGTGTCAAGAGGGGGCTAGATGGGTACATATTACCCCTAGAGTGTCTGAGTACCTAGAGTGTCATTAGATTACTCTTCCAAAGCAAGATATATTAAGGATAAATGGCCAAAGTCTAGCCAATGTGTAACTAAGAGAATCATTTGACTAGATAAGTAAAAACACATCTAATTTCAGACTGGAACCTGGGGGTAGCATAATTTGAACCTTAGATCTAAAATGTAAGAAGAAAAACAAACAGATCCAAGTGTATTAGCCAAAATCGTGGTGGCTTAATGCTAATGTTAGCGAAAAGTAGTAAAATAGAAAAACAAGAGTAACAACAGAGACCTCAAATCCTTGCCTTTAAACACAGATAAATTCACATTTGAGATCGAAATTTAAAGGATTTGCTAAAAGATCATTTATCAAACATCGAACAAGCAACTACTGCATGCAAAGGTAAATTTATTAGTTGAAGATAAAGCAGAAACGGATAGAATCATAAACAGAGACCTTTATCATCAAACAATTTGAGTGGATCATAAAACTCTAGATCAGTTAACCAAACACACAACACGGACTGAAAATCGGATTCCAGACCAAAATCAGAGAGTTTTCCTAGTTAGATCAATAATCACATATATATATACAGCTTATTCTTCCTTCGATTGAAGATCAAGAAACAGAAATCATATGCTAAAAAGTTGTATTACCTCAGATTTACTTCAAAGCTGATGTGAACTGCAAAAATAAGTTGAGAATTGGGTTAGATCATAAGCAGGGGGCCTACTGACTACCCCTACCAGTTACCAGCAAAGACGCCGGGAGTGAAAAGAGGGAGAGGCGTCCGACTAAATTGTTATATTTTCGGACGACAAGTCAAATTCGATGCGCTCCTTCTCTTTATCAGACTGAAATGGAATATTCTGGATGCAATAACGCCATCGGCAAATTTGCATAAAAAAAAGAGTAAATTACATTTTTTTGGTCCTTTTGGTTTTTTTAAAATTTATGATTTTTGTCTTTATAGTTTAAATATTACGGTTTTCGTCCTTATAGTTTGTTAATCACTTTTATTTTCGTCTTTATGATTTATAATTTATTGTTGTTTTGTTCTTATAATTTAAATTATTTATTATTTTAGTCTCTTGTACTTAAAAATATAAAAATTAATTTTAAAACGAAAATAACAATAAGTTACAAACTATAAAGATAAAAACCGTAATTTCTAAACCATAAAGACAAAAATTACAGGTTTTAACAATCATAAGGACTAAAAATGTAATTACTCAAAAAAGAAATAAGAGTAAGTTATGTTTTTAGTTCCTCTCATTTAATAAAATCTACCATTTTCGACCCTTTAAAATTTTCATCCTTATGTTATATAATTTATTTTTGTCCTCATCGTTATAATTTACAAGTTAAGTCGAGTTCATACGAGAATGGTGCATATTTAAGAAGATAAAAAAATGGTTGAATCACATGTGATTTACACTAACATCACGTATAAAATCACATGTGATTCATGCAACCTTACCTGCACATTTTTTTGTTGTTAATGTAAAATCACATGTAACTTCGTACGTAATTTGACCATTTTTTATTTTCTTAAATATATATCATTCTTGTATGACCCTACCTCTTTACAAGTTATAGTTATTGTGCTTCCTATGGTTTTTTTTTATTGACCTGGATATCCAACTCGTTATGTCAGCCGACTAATCTCAGGACGACCACCTGCTTTGCAGATAGCCCGGAGTTACTGTATTTGAACCTTTGTGGCCACAAAAGAATTTTTATTTCTCCTTGGATTTGAACCTGAGACCTCCTGGTACTTTTGATCTTTGGTGTCAAGCTCAAACCAATTAGGCACCACCCTTATGGTTATTGCTTCCTATGGTTTAATATATTTTTTTTTTTTTTGTTTTCATCTCTCATTGCTCATGTTTGAAACTTCATATATATGTGACACCCAAAAAAGGTAAATAAATAAATTTGAAAAGAAAAAAAAATGGTTTTTATTTTATTAGATTAAAAATGTAAAGAAAACGTGAAAATAAGCCAATTATGACATCTAATGAAAGTGAAGAGTGAATAAGTGAATTTATATTCACTTGGACTAAAAATGAGGAAAAATGTCAAATTGGGGGTGAGAAATGTAATAGGGGGAAAATGACATTCTCTAATAGTTCAGGGTTAATGTCAGACGTCAACTGGTCCAAAGTTTAGGGACCTGTTTTGTAAATATGACATATTTCAATTTGAAAAGGACGGGACGATGGTCGAGTTTTGAGGCCCGTTATTGGCTGATTTAGTCAACTAATACGTCAAGAATTTTGCATAAAAGTATAGCCAACCGATCAATGAACAAAGTCATCCAAAGCATTTAAAAAAATAATGGAGTTTTGAGAGAGAAATCGGTGCTTGAAGTTCATACTCGGATTTTCAACGATTCAAGGAAAAATACTCAACGGAATCTCATGATTTTCACGTCTTTGGCTTCATTTTTAAGTTATCTATCGATTCCAAGTAGTCTCATGTCTCGGATCTAAGTTTAAAAGTCCAATTTCGTGTTCAAAGTTTGTTCGGTTTGGTTTAAAAACCAAACCTTTAGAGTCAAAATACAAGCTCGTCTCTCAACCATTTTGAGTGATTTTTGGCTCATTTGGTGAGGATAAACGTGACCAAGAATTTAGTAAAATGAAAAATCAGAGAAATGATGGATAAGCAGGGCAAAACGGACCTGAAACATGCTGCCGCCAAGTTGGAAGGTAGTCAGGTACAAGGGTGATCCATGAAGTTGCATATGACTGAGTGAAATGCATCATGCCCAATAACCTTCACGCACGAGTTCATTGGCAATCTAAGGTCACTTGATCGGTTCTAGATTTATGGTTCACAATGTGAAACAATTTTAAACAATGATCTAACATGTCTGCATAAATTTTAAAATTCCATCTGAACGATTCCTGTATGATTAAAAAAAAAGTGTCAATAAAAATGTAACACCTAACATATATTTGGAGGGGTAAGAATCGAGTCAGCAAAAGGAGGCATTGGCATTCCTTAGGGCACTGGTCCATCAATGTCAATCACAATGGCATCATAATTTTCCCATGCAACCAAATCTAGATGTGAACAAATTTCTCGGTGTCGTGTTGTCCAGTAATTCACATTTACGTGTTATGTGTCGCCAAGAATATTCAACAGATCCTGGCAGTCAGAACAACGGGAAGAAGTGAAGCGTTTTATGTAGCTTAACTGGTTTTGTGAGCAATTGAGGATTGAATTCTTGAAGTCTTGAACGGATTCCCACCCACAGTTGTTGATTGAACGATTGGACGACGGAGGAACGATTAGGGTTTGGGACTTAGGGAAACGCTCTTTGCTCTCGAGGACTGAGGTTGGCGAGTTGGGGCCTGAGGGTAACCGGCCGGCGCCACACAATTTTTGCCGGGGAATTTAGATCCAATCGTCCGGTAAACTACACAACAATTTTGTGCTAAAAAAAACAGTGCGCTGTAAAAAAATGGCGGGCCACCGTTTCAACCCACGCTTACAAGTTATTTTCGATTTGGAAAAAAATTTGTATTTTAATGGTTCTTAAAACCCTCCGAACAATACGGGTCTCCTTAATTATTAAGTGTCATAATTTCAATATAAATAATTATCAAACAATTATATTTCATTTTGCACTATATGATGAGAGCTTCCTAGGAACGTTTATTAAACACTTATTCGGTAAGTATTTATCAATAAATTTAACACTATTATTTATTTACAGGATAAGATATTAGTCCACCAAAACGACATCGTATGCAACAATTTACCCGGTAAGCGTTTACCATGGTAAGATTCATCGCCCTCACTTACTGGGTAAGACTCTTAATTTGTACAACATCATTTTCTTCTACTTATCGACAAGGGACATAAACATATTTTAAACATCATAAAAAACTTTTGAGATTATTAGATTGTAGTAATTTAAATCATCAAAGCTTCTTTTTTATAAGTTCGAATATAGATACATTCAGATCATCTTATAACTTATTAAACATTTGTAATACATATTTTTGTTCTTTCCTTCATCTTCTTAAATGATACCAAAGACTACAAAAGCAACTTCAACATATTTCATAAGCTACATATCATAAAACAACCGTTACACTTTCCTTGTTCACGTTCTCAAGAAAATTGGACTAAAGGCCTAAAACATTTACTTAAACGGTTACTCTTTGGTGCATTTGTTGTATCCCCTTTTCGAATTTGCTTTCTTGTTTCCATGGTGACCTATGTAGTCACATGTTGTGACCGAATGAAACGTGAAACTTCATGTGCGAGTTCCATTTGGTTGATCAACTCAAGATTCGTGATTTACAATGTGAAACAATTTTAGAAAATGATCAAACGTGTCTGACCAAATTTTAAAATCCCATCGGACCAATTCCTATGTGATCACAAACAAGTGTTAATACAAATGGAACACTTAAACACATGGCGTATTAATCACATGTCTCTCCTTGTCCCACCAATCACGTGAAGATACATAATTGTTTTATTTAATTCATCTTTTTATTTTCTATTCTCAGTAAAGTGATAATGTGTTTTCACGTGACTGATGGACAGACAGGAAGGGACATGAGAGTTTTTATTCGTTGTGAAGGGGTAAGAATTGAGTTACCAGAGGGAGGCATTGACATTGGCGTTGGCGTTGGCGTTGGCGTTGGCGTTGGCGTTGGCTTTGGGGTTTGCTTCGGCGGTCTCATTCCTTTGGCCACTGGTCCATCGATATCAATCACAACTGCATCAGAAGTCAAAAATGTCTTTGCCACCGATGCTGCATGCTCTATACAACATCTCATTACCTGCTTCATAATAAGCATCATAAGTCAAAAATGTTTTTTCAGCCATTAACTAGTTTACCAAAGATAGCTTTAATGCTTTTGTAATACAAACGCCCCATATTTTCATGATTGCCATCAATCAGTACACAGTCTTGATACAAGAGCTATGCTAATATTCACTTAGGGTGACTGTTAGGAGCTTAATGAGCTTAACGGGACTCCTAACTTATTTGGTCTGCTATAAATTAGTGGCTTACAAATATAGAAAGTGGCTTATTCAAAACAAACTGAGCATCCCCTTGATGTTCCTAATTTTTTTTTATTAACCTGGATATCCAACCCGTTATGCGAGCCGACTAATCCCAGGGCGACCACCTGCTTTGCAGATAGCCCGGAGTCACCGCATTTAAACCTCCGTGGCCACAAGGGGATTTTTATTCCTCCTTGGATTTGAACTTGGTTCATAATTTGCTTTTTCCCATTCTCAGTTCTGGTTCAAGTTTAATCTGCTTTCCTAATGATCGTGTGACATAATCAAATTCCTTGTTATATGAATGCAATGCCGAAGGTTAAAATAATAAGTCGTAGCAAATAAAACCTTTGTTGGGTCTATGATACCGGCAGCCATCAGATCTTCATACTGGTTGCTTGCAGCATTGTATCCATACCTCATATCATCGTTGGACAAAACCTAAACACAATAAAACCGCTAAATAATTGTAAGTTCATTAACAGTTAGTTCATCCTTTACATAGGGATGGCGTACCTTCTCTACAACAATGCTACCATTAACACCAGCATTTTTGGCTATCTGCCTTGCCGGATATTCCAAAGCTCTTTTGAATATGTCAGATCCTATCTTAAATTTCACATCAAGAATGATCTCAATATATAACAATAATAATCACCCAATTTACATGATAGAATGTGAAAATTATCTACAACCCATTGACATAATTGTTGGTGATTTTAGTGTCATCAACCATTTGGTTTAATTGTGATTTAATTGAGATTGATTAAGATGATGAGGCAAACATAAGCGAGTAAGGGGGTGCGGAGTGCACACTCACAAATGTTGCCCCTATTACCTTAGATCGCCATAAGGCAAGGGTCAAAGCAGTCATGCCCCCTTGTGGGGTTCCAAGGGGCAACACCCCTTGGCGGTGGTCACAATTTATGAAGAGTCGAACTTAGTAAAATTTTCACCAAGTGTAAAGTCTGATAATGGACTCGGACATCTGATCCTTCTATGTCAGTCATCTGAAATGTGGTGTCAGACTTGAAATTAGCTGTCCTCTGGACTAATGAAGGCAGGGATCTGAACCTTGTGTTCAGACTTGTTTCAGAATAAGTCGAAAGTCTGAATTAATGGATGCAGACGTCTGAACCTTTTGTTCAGACTTGTGTTTTGGTATCAGACTTCGATTTTGAACTCTGATTCGGTTGTAACTGCTCTTCGATCTTATTCACAAACAATTATTACCATTTAACCGCTCGTAAGCGTCGATCTCTCTTATAAATACATAAATTCGTGATCTGATGAATATTATATATATATATATGCGAAACCAGTACCTCATTTCACGTATGAAATTTCTAGATTATCCTTGTACTGATTTCGTGTGAATCTAAGGCACTAGAGGCGCGAAATACAATATTTGGACAGTGATTTCCAATTCACGATCTAGAATTTTATCCAAGTTATACAACTACAAAACCCAGATCCCTACAATAAGTGCAGTCACCACACGGTCGCTTGCTTTGATGATTTCTTTTATACCCATGTAAACGCATGCTTATGGTTTCAAGCTGTTTATTTTGTTTTCAAGTTGCATGTTGAAGGGATAATATCCATAATAGTTATGAATAATTAAAGTTTTAGGCGAGCTCCAAATGAGTGACAATTATCAAACCACTTAATTTTTTTTAATCAATTTCTTGAAAATTGGTTTCATTAAGACATGATTAATGTTTATTAGCTTAAAGTAATAGAATATGGGGGGTTTACCTTCTGCTCTTCATTATCCATAAGCTCTTTTATTTCATTCACCTTCAAAGATAGCCTCAAAAGACAACAGCCACCACCAACTACGACTCCTTCCTCAATAGCAGCCTTGAGCAAAAGAAAATATGAAAAGCTTAAAGATTGCAGAAAGTCAACAAATTGACCATGTCTAAGCTAATCTACCTTGGTTGCATTTACAGCATCTTCCATCCTCAATTGTTTATCTTTCAGTTCAACTTGTGTTTGAGCTCCAACCTGATCATGAGTTCATAAAATTCCAACCATCAAATTCTAAGAAAATTTCATCACATGGTAAGATTGTCAAGTTCACCTTGATAATAGCAATTCCTCCTGACAACCTTGCAATCCTTTCATTAAGAATTTTCTTTTGAAAATTTTCTTCGGTGTTCTGCAAAATAAATAAAAGAAGGGGGGGGGGGGGGAGGCAGAGTTTATAGCATGACAAAGTGCAAAGAACATGTACTTCCTCAGTTCTCAAGAGAATGTAGATTATGTCTTTTAAGGTCAATTTAACTACTTTCTACTTCTAAAACTGATATGGGTTCTTTAATCTTGCAGCAAGTTTTCATAATTATTTAGCAAATACTACATATGGGAACATGGTGCTACATTCATAGAAAACTTGCTTTCTTTTTTCCTTCTTTTGTGAATATTCTATTCAATTACAGTTATAGCATCAAAATCTGTGAAGGGCATACTAGGGAAAATGGAAAAATATTCATTCTGTTCTTGTAAACACTATGTCTAGATTAGACAGAACTGGATGATGGGATTACGCCAAATGGGAACTTGAAGCCCATGACATGATGTAAATAGAAAAAGTAGACCACTTGACCTTAAAAGTGAAAGTCTCATCTCTTCTTGGGACGAAGGGAGTAATCAATACAAATAGAAGGAAAAAAAAAACAAGTGGTGCACCTCAACAAGCCTTTGGAGCTGAGTGACCCTTCTCTTGACAGCAGCTTGAGTGCTCCCATCGGTAACTATTAGTGTGGAGTCTTTGGTAATGACCACCTCACTCGCAGTCCCAAGCACATCTTCTTGGACCCTTTCAAGGGTCAAACCGGCATCATCCCTGACCACAGTTCCTACAAAAGCATATCATGGCTTAGCAGTTAGCATAACAATTACAATGAAAATAATTTGAACCCAAAATCAGTCAACATATGCAGTTGAGCTAATTTAACCACTTCTGTTACCCTTTATCCTCATTTCCTATGACGATTCAGGTAATTGGCTGTCCAACCATTATACTCACAAACACTTTGACATCTATGAACGATTATGGTTACAGCCGATGGTATCCAACATTGTTCTGAAAAGGGTCATACTTGATGACTTCAATTCATTTGCTGATTAAATGAAGGGAAAAAAAATACCATCAAGATTGACCACATTATGATAATGTTTCTGGGACTTGTTTACTACCTCCAGTCAAGATAGCAATGTCATCTAAGTAGTGGCTCTTGCGCTCACCGAAGGCAGGAGCTTTGACAGCTGCTGCCTTCAGTACGCCCTTGAGTTTGTTCCTAATTACTGGAGCCAGAGCTTCCTGCTCAATGCCCTCGGCAATTATGATAATTGGATAGTTCCCTTTAACTGCCATGTCCAATATTCTATACATCTCCTTCGGATTCGTAATTATTTTGTCAACCAAAAGCAACTGCAATCAACAAAATTTCACACCTTCTAATTACTTCTGTAGAAGCAAACAAATTTACTTACTCCTACCGTTCGAAAAAGAAACGAGATCACTTTGACTTTTGAGTTCAAACATATTGCTTCAGCAAATTGAAAAATATGTACTTGTGGGACTGTAAACATCAATATTTTCTTAATTGTAGTTTTACTATTAATATTTTTGATGTGGTTATCAAATTTTCTCCCAAATGTAAGTACATTTGATGGTTTTTCTGAAGCCAACATTAGTGCATGTGACCTCGAAAGTCAAAGTATACCTCTTTTTCATAATGGAGAGACCAAAATCTAGCAATCTTACCTTGCAATCTTGAAATTCTGCTTTCATAGTTCTTCGATCAGTAAAATATTTAGACATGTAGCCACGATCGAATTGCATCCCCTCTACGATTTGCAGATTGTTCTCAGCACAATTCCCTTTCTCAATAGTGATAACACCCCTCCTTCCTACTTTTTGAATAGCTTCAGAAATCATGCTTCCCACTTCAAAATCGTTACCTGCGCTGATGGCAGCAACATCTGAAAGCTCATGATCCTCAACCTACAAGGTACAATTGAAATTTGGCTGCCAAGTTCAGGCGTTTTCAGATTTAAATCCTTGTTGGGTATTGCAATTTAATAAATATCATGGAATTCAGAGGATCATATTTAATCATCACCTCTCTAGACATCAACTTGAGTTCTGAGACAAGGGATTCTGCAGTTCTCTGAATCCCTCGTGATATCTGTATAGGATTCATGCCTGCTGCAATAACCTTAAGAAATGCAAAAGTTTTGAGTCTCATTGTCTCTGCCTTCTGTTGATAACTTAGAACTATGCTTTTTGTACCTTCACACCTTCAGCAATGAGGCCCTGGGCAAGCATAATAGATGTGGTGGAACCGTCACCAGCTAGATCGTTTGTTTTTGCACCAGCTTGTCTCACTAATTTCACACCAACATTCTCAAGAGGGTCCTCTAGTTGAATCTATATAAAGCATAATTCAAGAGAAAGAATGTCATAACACTAAATTTCTGTGTCTATTTATGCAATTCAGCAAAAACTAGCTGCTAAATGGAGTTAAGAAAGATATTAGACCCAAAGGATCTGAATGATGTTTGTTAGGTTCAAAAACACTGAGCTGAAAGAAGCATAGTAACATCTAGTGGCAAGTGGCAAATGGCAATTGAACTACAAGGCCAAAGTGTGCAATAGGGGGGCAAAAAGTAATACATTTTCAATGAGACAACCTGACTCGAATAATAATTGCACCGTGTTCATCAAGAGTGGAAGGAAACCCTTTATTAGAGACCTGCAAGGTGCAGATTGTATGACTAACATCTGATCATTTGAATCCAGCTCGTTTGGTTGATGACATTCTACGTTTATATAGTCTTTGACCAAAACAAGGTCCCGTTATGAAGCATATCTTATTCATTTTACAAGAATGTTTCCAAAAATCAAGCAAAGAGCCCTAAAAACGTAGTGAATCCTGTTCTGAAACATTTGCCACCATTTCTTGAATCACCGGTAAGACACTATCCCAAAACGTGAATGCCTATCATTTTATGGTATTGCTATCCAGTATTGTAAAGTATCATTTAATCTTCAATTTCATAACCAATTGGCAATTAGTGAGTCACCGCATTTCTTTTCAAACTGATGGAAATTCATGTTTGTCCTTGTAAAACCATTTGCACCATAACCATCCAATTTCTGCATCCTTAATCCAGGCTAGACATGTGGAGATGTGTTAGAAAGTGCAAGTCTCCTTCAAGTACACCATAATTGCACCATGAATCTAACAGCAGCAAATCCACAAACACTTGAAAGCCAACTCTACAAGAGTCCCTCAAAGGAAACAGCATGTAACCAAACCTTGACCACTGGGGCGAGCAGCTTAGATCACTAATGAAATGGATGCATTGTTCATTAACTTTTATTCTACATATTTCCAATCAATTAGAATCACAAACTAAAACTAGATATCAAAATTATGTACCTCTTTGAGAACGGTTTCACCATCATTAATAATCCTTGGAGGGCCATACTTATTTTGCAACACCACATTTCTACCCCTTGGACCCAAAGTAACTCCAATCAGCTCTGCCACCATATTCACCCCTGCCTACACCCAAAACCCACATAATTCATTACACAACGAAAATACAGTTAAAGAATTAATCATAATGTCACGCAGTCTTGTAACAAGCTTATCCAAAATTTCTATACCCACTTGGAATAAATAAAATAAATGAAGAAAGTAAATGCAATCTCAGGAAACAAACAACTTAAAAGCGAAATTGGGAAATGAAACTGACCAGGAGCTTGGTTGTGGTTGAACCATCATGATTGAAGTGAATTTCTTTAGCCATAGCTATAATTGGGTTCAGTGATTTTCTACTGTATTTGGGAAATTTTGGGTTCCTAAAAGATATTGGAGGTGCAACATATAGAGAAGAGAGCATGTTTAGATTAAAAGTAAAGAATTGAGAAACAGGATAACGTGATTAAAGGGATGATACAAGTTCCCTGTTAGAAGTTGGTTTTTGGCGCCTTTCCGAAGACCAGTTTCAGACTACTCCTTGAGATAAGGCCCAACCCATACATGATACAACCACCCCCTTTTCAACATATAAATACCCTTCATAATAAAAACTTAATATTTTAAAATTTTATTAGTTTAAGTAGTTATTTTAAGGGGAAAAAAATGGGATTGGTATTCATACAACACTTACATGGGCAAGTAAGGACGACGATTGTTACCACGGTTAGCACCTATCGGATAAATTGTTGCATAATATGTCGTTTTTATTGATCAAAATCTTACCTAATAAGTAAGTGATATTGTTAAATTTTACTGAAAAATGATTAACAAGTGTTTGATAAACGGTTTCTACAGTGACAACATTTTTACATCTCTTCCTCATGTATATGCCACTCATATGAATAAAATTGGCCTTTTAATACAAGTCAAAAAGGATTTCGTCAAGTGACCTGTTAACACTCTTTTTTTGTTTTTTTTTTCTTTCTGAATTTGATAAATAGTTAATATATTTTAAATATAAAAAAAACTATTATTAAAAACATGATTCAAATTTTTTTAATAACTAATTTATAATTTTGTACAACATTTTAATAATTATTTCAGACGTTTTCAAACTGTTTGATCCATCGATCAAGGGACCGATTATAGATATTCAGCACAAAGCCAAGATCAATGCTTTTTAAAAAATCTTAACCCAGTTCAATTAAGTCACACTTAGCTTGGAGGTATTAATCATGTTTTTTTTTTTTCCGAAGGAACATGTTTTTTATTTATAGTTTATGAAATTAAGAAATATGAATGGCTGATTTACAAATAAAAGAACAAGAAAAAAAAACTTTATTTTTTTATATTCTTGTAATTATATCTGTTATATTAAAATAGTATTGTGTTATTAATTAATTGTAATGATGTTGTTGCATATGATTATGTTTTTGTTGATTAAAATCTTACCCAATAAGTAAATGATAGTGTTGAATTTTACGAACATCACACACATAACTAGTGCAGGTATGCATACAAAATGAAGCCTTGAGAGTCGTACGTAGGACTTGGCATATCGTGAAGACTTTTCACCATTTGAATATGGGTTCTCAATGGAAAAACTTGCAACCATACCAAATACAAATAGAAAGAAAAAAACATCAATAGTCCACCAAAATATATATTAGAAAAAAAAGCAGTCATGCAATTTCTGGAGATTTTATAATAATAATAATATATAAAAAGCATGCAACCTAAGTGACGATCTACGAAGTAATTAATTAATGAAGCAAAGTGGATGAATCATTAGTATTAGCCGATGAAACAGTAGTTTCGTGGGAAGACTGAACAGTGGTGCAAGAAGGAAGCAGATAACCATCGTCATCAAGATCTCTGAAAAAACCAATATCTCCTAAACCAGTATAAGTGGTAGCAAGTTGAGCTTCACTAAGCAACTTTCGTAGTTCCAAGGTTTCTTTCTTGAGTTTACGATTTTCTTGAATAACTTGTTTCTGAGACTCCAAGAAGCGGTTGAGTTGGTCTAGGAGCCCATGGTTCTGGTTCTTGAGCCACACCACCTGGGTGCATAGCTCTTCCAGCTGCCTTTGTTTCCTCATCCTGGACCTCCTAGCTGATTCCCGGTTCGATATCATCCGTCTATGCTTTCTGTCCTGTATGACCATGTTCATCTGGCTCTCATGATCCCAAGTACTTGAAGAGTTGTTACAACTCACAGATGATGAGAACTGTTTAACCATGGGTTGTCGATGATGATGATGAACGTTTGTTCCAAAGTCGACAGAAGATGAAAATGAAGTGTGGTAATTTGCTGCCATCTTTCTTTCTGTCTGATCAATCCAAGTGAAACTCAAAAGTAGTCGTTGGAGGAGTAAATATGCATATATGAAGATGTTATTAGAAGAGAACTGAGAAAAAATGGTAGGGTTTTATAGGATGGGGAAAAGGCAAACATCTCTATCTCTAATCTAATCTCTATCCCTATCCATCCAACTTATTGTACTAATATTTTCTTTAATTAATTACATAACTTAACCAAAATATAAAATAATATTTTAAAGACAGTAAATAAAAATTTAAAGAATAAATAAATGTAACACCTCATGCTAACCGTAACAAATAGACTCGTGGTTTTAAAATTTCTTATAAAGCAATCTTTGTTCCGATCCCAACCGATGTACGTGGAATCTCATAATAAAAATGAAAAGAGGGAGATGGATTTATTGTTTCACAAGAGAAATAAAATTTACTTTGAGAGTATATTGGTAAAATATAAGTTTGTTCAACCTTGTTTCACGGGGTGGGGATGGAACACGTCTGTTTTATCTTTGTTCTTGTTTGTTCTACATAAAAGTCTTGTCAAACATGAAATATTAATCTTTGTTATGTTATGTTATGTCATATATTTAGAGTACCAAACGCATCTTAAAGACGGCACCTGGTTTCAATAACCGTCAAGTCAGCTGTTAAGTATCCTTAGATGATAGTCACGTGAAAGGTACAAAAACAAATTTAAGTATACATAAAAATAAAATATTATTAGATTATTCTCTAAAAGAATGATGATAATGATAATGATAGGAAAGTGTGGATTGAGAAATTAGAAAATGAAGATGGTGGATGAAAGCAAATACGTAATGGTTGTAAAGTTTTGAGGATGGAATATGAATGATTCACAGTAGGAAGTAACTTATTAATTATAAGTGACGTGAAGACTCCTTCTTTTGAATGTGGAATGTTGTGACCAAGGATACATTAATATAAATTAATATTTTATTCTTATTAAAAGAGTACTCGTACAATGCAACGAAATATATTTTAATTTTAGTGTTTCGTTTTTTTTTTTTTTGGTCTTATTCGATATTATAATACGGTTTTATATGGTTTTGAGAAAACGATAATGTTTTTTTTGGATAAAATATATATATGAAGACATTATAAAAAATAAAAAAATATTGATATTAGTATCAAACTAACTATTTAAAATTTCTCGTTTATTGGTGTATTTCTTTAATTCATTTTTTTTATTTTTGGTTTAATAATATAATTTTTTATAAAGATAATAATTAAGTATGTTGTTAGAACTCAATGATTATCCTAATTATATTTTAGTTTTTTTATATTCAAAATGAAATGTTTATCCTCTATTTGATTATTTTTATCTGAAGTTAGTTACACGAATTCAAACATGAAGCTTTAATAAGTTGTACTTACGCACAATTTACTTGTAATCTTGAATTAAAGTAATATGCATCAATAACAGTACTTCAAGCATAAAAAATGGTTTTAAAGAGTTTGTCAAATGTTTTATAATATAGTATAGATATGTTTATCTGAAGTTAGTTACACGAATTCAAACATGAAGTTTTAATAAGTTGTACTTACGCACAATTTACTTGTAATCTTGAATTTTAAGTAATATGCATCAATAAACAGTACTTCATGCATAAAAATCGATTTTTAAGAGTTTTTGTCAAATTCTTTATAATACAGTATAGATATGCTATTATGAAATCTAATTAATTACTTTTTTTCAAGTGGTTTAATTATAATTTCACGCAACTAATTGGAATAAAATAAATGCATGTATATGTTTTAATTCAACTAGTGACATATTTTTATTCTAATGTAACTAGTATGGGAACCGCGCGTTGCGCGGTAGTATGAGTGCTTTGATTAATGATCTGATGATTGTCTATATAAACATATATTAATTGTTAATAGAATAATCAACAAATCATATTCAAATAATTCGAAAAAGTTAAATAAAATATAGTTAGTGAAATTTTAATACACACACACACACATATATATACATACACATATATATATATATTGAGAGAGAGATTTGTTTAGTAATAAAATTGTAAAACTAAATAAAATGAGTAATAATAACGACGGAAATATTAAGGAATCTGACACAAATTTAAGAATAAAAAATACTCCACATAAAGATATGTCTCCTTCAAAGGATGATGTATATGTACTATTTTTCATCTTCAACATATATCTTGACTTTAAAAACACAATAGTGAATGAACCGGACCAACCATACGATATGTAAAAAATCACATACCAAAYTTAAAGACTTCAAATCTTTATAACCCAATAGATAAAATTATAATGCAATCAAAATCATAACATGAACATACATAAAATTATAATACGACTAAACTTACGATAAGAAC